GGGGGGGACAATTCAGGTAAAGACTAGTGGAAACTAGTAGAGCCCTGCGCCTCAGGATTTGGGTCCATATGCAGCTGGTAGAAGCTGTAGTAGCGAGCCTCGGCTTTTTGCCGGGTCGCTTCGTCGACTTCACTGACGGCAACTCCGTTCTCTTTGGCCCCAGACTTGCCCGGCGATGCGAGAGAGACCGAGGCAGGACTGCAAGAGGGAATCTGCGTTAGCTTGGATATTTCACAATGGTCACTTTCTCTCAAGGATCGGTACTAACCCAAACATCTCCCGATCAATGAGCAGGAACTGCTCCATGGCGCCTTTTCCGCCACGCTGCTGGAGATATGTGAGGTATGTCGCACAAAGCTCCTTCTTGGAGGCTGCCGACAAGTTGCTCTCTCCTCGGAGCTTGGCAAAGATGTCCTTCAGGCGTTCGCTATGCTGGGCTTCGAGCTCGTCGTTTGTCGGCTGCTCCAGCTCCAGCTGGATCCATTTCTGCCAGAACTCGCGGCTGCCAGAGTACCACTGGACGTTCTTCTGGAATACAGCACGTGCCTCGTCCACTGAACCCTTGGCCCTCCACAGGATGTACGCCCACTCTGTGACAAGCACTGCCTTGGTCCAGATGTCCACCTCGGGCGAGTCGATCTGCTGCTTGTAGACTTCGATGGCCGCCTCCACGTTGCTTTGGCGGCGCTCCAGGTGCGCTAACGAGATGATCACCTCGATGCATCCGGGGAGCTTCATCAGAATGGCGTTGTGGATGTCTCGGGCCACGTCGACCCGGCCAATACTCTCCTCAAGGTACGCGTATTGTAGTCGGATACCAGGCCGGCTTATCGGCACGTATACAGAGGCGGCACGCAGATAGATGTTGCGCACTTCCTCAGTCTTGCCTGGCTGGGCTGACATCCAGCGCGCGTACCGGAACCAGAACTCGTCGTAGAAGGCGCACGTCACGAGGCAGCGCTCGTAGAGGAAGCATATCCTCGCATAGCTGCCCTCCTGCTCCTCGAAGTCCAGGTACTTCCGCCAGTTGACGAGCTGCGGGTTATCCAACTCGGTCACATGGAAGTATGGGCGTTTGATCTCGGCCTCATACGTCCACCTCTTTGTCGTCTCCGTCTGGTTCTTAGTAAAGATCTCGTAGTAGGCCCCGTCGATCTTGGCACGGATGAGAATTTCGAGCTCATCCTCTGACTTTTCCTCGCCAAGGCTGGCTGCCTCCATCTCCACCTCGGATTTCAGACTGGCAAGTCTGTCGGCGGTGGCCATCTCGTGCAAGGGACGTGTCGCGGCCATGGTGCGAAGTCTCTCGTAGTACCGCGCGTACTGGTGCATTGGTATGTGAATTACGCGAGACAGTATGGCGTATATCTTGTCCTGGGCATCCTGGCGCTCTTCAAACTCGAGATACTTGTCCCAAAATGGATGGGCAAGGAAATCGAGACCGACACAGGCGGCACCGCGCTCGAAAAGCCTGTCAAGAGGGTCAGCTACTGTCGAACTTCTGAGCGAGGTCGGGAGGGGCGGGACGGCAGGGGGGACATGGGAGGGAGAGGTGTAAATACAAGAGGGGTGTTCTCTGTGTAAGCAACGACTATCCTCCCACCACCAGGTGCATTCGATCACTCTTCATGCTAAGTGGAGGCGGGCAAATCTCAAAAGAGCGGACTGTGGGCAGCGGGGAAGCCAGTTTCTGGTTAGACAGGCTGAGAGCGCACTCCAGGAGAGGGAGAGGTGGCCATCGTCGGTTGATATCTCACCGTCGAGCGTAAGTCCTCGATCCGTCATCTTCTCGTCCGTCGCAACAGCTTCTCGGCTGGCTTTTGGAAACGCTGTCGACGAGGTGGTTACATGGGAAGGAAAACGGCACTGTCTGGACTTACTCTCGGACCAGGTGTGGAACGTGTGTGGTCTCCATCTTGAAGGAGCAGTATTCCTTCCACAGGTCGACCGAGTGCGAGATGCTTGCGCAACCGCGCTCGTAGATCATCTCGGCCGACTCGGGGCCCGAGATGTTGAATTCGAGGTCCGCATACTTCTTCCAGTAGCCAAACAGCAGTGGGAACTTGAGAAGGAACCGGTCGTATGCCTCGCGCAGGATGGCCAGGGACTCGGCGCTCGAGTTGCGACTCAGGCCGCCTTCGAGCGACTCGCAGGCCCGGATAAGCTTCTCCCAGGCCTCGAAGCTGTCGGGGTCGGCTTCCTGTGACAAGGAAGATGACATGATCAGAGCTCTGGTTCGCGATCGACAGTAGAAAAAGTCCTCGTCTAAGTTGTCAAACATACCACCTCGGCGTTCAGGCGTTTGATCTCAGCGTTTTCCTCGTCCGGGCCACCAAGCTGGTGGAATTCCGCCATGATGACGAGTTCAATGGTTGTGATGGCGACTGAACAAGCGGAAGGAGCTGCCTCGAGAAGAGTCTGACAAGTGTCCGAATGCGGGTGCGGGCAGGTGCGGCAAGGCGCGAGTTGGCGCGAAGAGAAGGCGAGGTGAGGATTACAGGCGCGAAAACACGATATGGCGAGGATGGGAATTGAACGAATGCGGCGAGTCGCGTAGGGCTGTCGCTTTGCACACGCGATCGGAAGGATTGATCAGACAACAGCGACTGCGATCGGCGTCGGAAACGATGGAAGGAAGAAGGCGGTGCGATGGCCAGAACGATCGCGACTGGAGAAGGCGGAAAAGGAAATAAATTCCAGGAGGCTGGCGTGGGGCGATGTTCCCGTTCCGCCTTCAAGCTTGACATGGCGTGCCTGGGGCGCGTCGTCAGTGGGTCCCGTCTGCAGCTCTGCGTCCCTGACGTAAGCCTTGATCCACAACGACACCAGGTGGCTTCTTTTTTCTATAATTTTTTTTTCTCCCACAGCTTGTCGCTAATTCTCCTCCCTTTCCTCCAAAGGCTGGTGATGATTTTACACAAACATGATAGGAAGAGAATGACCTCCCATCGCGGGGGCATGATCTAAATCTAATAGCAAATCTGAAGCCTTACTCACGCCATGATTGCCTAATTTGTCTTTTTTTCTCCCTGCCGGTTCCAGGGCCGCCTCAGCAGTAAAGCTACAGGGTCGCAGCGAATACCAGTTTCCCAGGCTTGGTCGTTTTTGTTTCTCGATCTGCATCTGAAACCTCTCAGCACGCAGGCGGGACGGCGAGATGCAAGAAATGCCGACGTTCCCGACGTGTCAAACCAACCTTCTGTGCTCTACATGGCCAACCAGTCTCAGGTGGGGGATCGGCGTGTCCCAAATGTGGATGACTTGCATAGCGCATTTGCGACCTGTTTCCAGGTTCGAATCTCTAGTAGGACAAATTTACGCTGGAACCAGATTCCGCAGTTGATATGATGCGCCGAGCGGCGGTTTCTGTGCTTTATATCTGCTCGGGTGATGGACGTCTAGAGTGGACGCGGTAGTAGGATTTGTTAAGCCTGAGGTCTACCTTGTCGGAGTAAAGGACGGGCGCGTCAATTGGAATCCATAAAGCCTCAGTGTGTTATTTACACGCTTACGAGAAGGGAAGAAATCTGCAGCAATTCGTCTTGTATGGACTGTATCATGTAGATGTGCCATTGAGGCGGCTGAGCTCAGCTCTCGCCCCTGTGTTCTGGCACAGCTGCTGACCCCCACCGTTCGCTAGGCGCCCAAAGCACTGGTGGCACCTGCGGCTGAGTCTGACGCAGGCCACCGCGTCATTGCAACAGCGGCAGCCCAGGCGGTCTGCGCTGGGCTGGCAGGGCGTTATAGGCCAGCATCGCGGCAGAGGCTGGGATCGACGTAGTGAGGCAGCCGAGCGAGCGACGGCACAACCAAATCCTCCTGATGGGCAACCGACGATCCCAAAGCCTCCACAGAACAGCACAGAACCTGTCCCGGCGAATTTTGCGATGACGGGCGGCGGTCAATTGGCGCAGCGACACCCAGACTAGCCGCCGGAGCAGACCGCCTTCGGACCGCCTTCGCCTCCCCCAACAACGCCGACATGGAGTTTCCGCCCCCGCCTACGTCAGCCTCGAGCGCCGCCTCGGCCTCGACCCTCTGGAGCGGCCAGGCGCCCTCGTCGGACAAGTCCAGCCAGCTGCTGATCCGCGAGTACCCCAACCGCTCCATCGCCATCGTCTCGCAGTCCCACGCCCTCATCTTCCGGCACAGCCACGGCCACGACGCCTTCGCAAACGGTTCCTTCGCCCCGGCGCGGCCGCGTCCAGGCGAGTCCGCCGCCGCAAAGTGCATAGTCGAGTTCTCTCCCAACAATAGGAAGCTGCTGAGCGAGTACCGGCCCCTGACCCCGCGCCCCATCTACGGCACCCTCGGGCTGCTCTCCATCGGCCGCGATGTCTTCATCTGCGTCATCACCCAGGCCACGCGCGTCGCCACTCTCCGGCCCGGCGAGACCATCGAGCGCATCGCCATGGTCGAGTTCTTCTGTCTGACCACCAACGAATACGACCATGTGCTCGCGGCCGACCCAAGCGACCTCGACGAGTACGCCCTGAGCCGCAGGGACCCCGGCACCGTCGAGCACCCGTGCCAGGAGGTCCAGAAGCTGCTGAGCAATGGGAGCTTCTACTACAGCACCGACTTCGACCTCACCAACCGGTTGCAGGATAGGTCCGTGGACGCGTGCACGTTTGACATGGACAACTTTGACGAATCCTTCCTCTGGAACTCGTACATGATCGATCCTCTGGTCCAGTTCCGCTCGCGTCTCATGCCGCGGGACAGGGAGGCTCTCGACGCCGCTCGCTTTCTCACCTCGGCCATCCGCGGTTTCTGCTTGACCATGACGATCCCGCAGTCGTCGGCCCCGCTGCGAGAGTCCAGGGCGGGGATGCCGTCGTACCTGACCGTCATCTCTCGCCTTTCTTGCCGCAGGGCCGGCACTCGCTTCAACTCTCGGGGAATCGACGACGACGGCAATGTGGCCAACTTCGTCGAGACTGAGACCATCTACTGGAGCCCCTCTGGCGTCGTGTTTTCATATGCCCAGGTGCGTGGGTCTGTCCCCATCTTCTGGGAGCAGGCCGCTGGGCTCCTGCCCGGTCACCAGAAGATCACCGTCACCAGATCGCCCGACGGCGCGCAGCCGGCGTTCAATAAGCACTTTGAGGAGCTGGAGCAGACGTATGGTGCCGTGCATGTCATCAACCTCCTCAGTGAATCCAAGCCGGGCGAAGTCGAGCTCAGCCAGCTGTTCCGTTACGGCATCCAGCACTGCCCCCTGAACCGTCGTGGTGAGAAGCAGCAAGACCACGCGCTTCTTAGAGCCACTGAGTACGATTTTCACGCCGAGACCAAGGGTCCTCAGGGATACGAAGCCGCCCAGCAGATTCGCGGCTACATCGAGAGCTCGGCTGACGGGTTTGCCTACTATCTCGCCGAGGCCATAATGGACGGTGACGACGGGAACAGGCAGCAGCCTTCCACCCCCGGGCGTTATGTGGTGGTCCTTCAGCAGGAGGGCGTCTTCAGGACGAACTGCCTCGACTGCCTCGACCGGACTAACCTGATCCAGACCAACATATCCAAAATGGCAGTCGAGACGTTTTTGGACCACAGGGGTAACAGCGCGCCGTCAGATTTCTGGATGAGGCACTCCAGCCTGTGGGCCGACAACGGCGACTCGTTGTCCCGGATATACGCCGGCACCGGCGCTCTCAAGTCGTCGTTTACCCGTCACGGCAAGATGTCACTGGCAGGGGCTATCGCCGATGCGCGCAAGTCGGCAACAAGGCTCTACATCAACAACTTTGCCGACAAGGCGCGGCAGAACACCATCGATGTCCTCCTTGGCCGCATATACGGGCAAACGCCTGTCGTTTTGTATGATCCCATCAGTGACTACGTCGCTGCGGAGCTCAGCAAACGCAATGCCCAGTTCTCGACCTCCAAGACCATCAAAATCTTGGTCGGGACCTTCAACCTCAACGGCCGTACCGAAGGAATCCAGGACGACCTGTCGGCATGGCTCCGCCCGCCGGAGCTCGGGTCGGATCAGCCAGACATTGTAGCAGTCGGATTCCAAGAGATTGTTGAGCTGAGCCCCCAGCAAATAATGAACAGCGACCCTCGGGTGAAGCAGCTGTGGGAGAATGCCGTCAAGAACACCCTCAACCTGAATGCCGCCAAAGAAGGCAGAGAGAAGTATCTGCTTCTCCGGAGCGGGCAACTTGTCGGCGCGGCCCTGTGCATCTTTGTCAAAGCGTCTGCGCTGAAAAGCATCAAGAACGTCGAGGGAAGTGTGAAGAAGACGGGCATGTCGGGCATGGCTGGAAACAAGGGCGCGGTGGCCATCAGGCTGGACTATGCCAACACGCAGATCTGCTTTGTCACGGCCCATCTTGCTGCCGGCTTTGGCAACTACGACGAGAGGAACAAAGACTATGCCACCATCCATCATGGCTTGAGATTCCAGAGAAACAGGGGCATCGACGACCATGGTATGTACTCGGACTGTGCTACTTGTCTCTGCTATTGCGGGCGAGACTGACATAAGAGTGGTGCAGATACTGTTATATGGCTTGGCGACTTCAACTACAGAATTGGGCTGAGCAGGGAGAACGCCCTCGAGCTAATCAGGCGACGAGACCTCCCGCACCTGTATGAGAATGACCAGGTATGCTCCGGTTGATGGACCTCCTCTGATATTCGATCCTTGTATGCTCGGGCTGACATGTGAGCTTCCCCTCGGTAGCTTAACCTTCAGATGGTTGCTGGCCTCGCGTTCCAGTACTACTCTGAGGCGCGCATCAACTTCCTGCCAACATACAAGTTCGATCTTGGACGTGACGAATACGACTCTTCTGAAAAGGCCCGAATTCCTGCATGGACAGACCGGATTCTGCGGAAGGGGAGCAACATCCGCCAGCTCTCGTACAACTCGGCCCCCTTGCGCTTCTCGGACCACCGGCCAGTCTACGCCACGTTTGAGTGCACAGTCAACATTGTTGACGAGGCCCTGCGCGAGAAGTTTAGCCGGGAGATCTACGATGGCCGAAGAGCCGATGTTGGTGATGTCGGCAGCGTCGTGACAGCCGATGACACGGATGACGAGGACCTCCTGGGCTACGACTCGATAGAGCCTGGCCTACCGCCGGCGAGCTCGGATCGGCAGAAGTGGTGGCTAGACAATGGCAGGCCGGCCCGCTCGGCCATTGTCCCGCCCAAGCCGCCGGCCAACCACACCACGGTTCTCAACCCGAACCGGCCAGCCAATCCGTTTGCCTCGACGGAGGAACCTGACTGGGTCACAGTGCCCAGGGCCGAATCAAGGCTCTCGTCCTTCTCGAGCATATCCACGTCACCTTATGAGCATGTCAACCACTCGGTCATGCTCTCTTCGTCCGCTTCGAGCCAGCCTCATAGAAAGCTTCTGCCGCCGCCTTTTGACCCCTCCTCCTTACCGGGAAGAGCTGCACCCGGCGTCATCCGAGCCAACACGTCGACAGCATCCGAACATGAATCGGTCTCACAGCAGAGGAATGAAACCCCGCCACCACCCCCGCCAAGGCGTCAGACCAGCTCCGCATCCGCGGCGGCGGCTATATCGACAATCCCTCTTCGAGCCTCGACCCTGCCAGCGGCGGCCAGGGCGCAGACCAAGATTCTCCCGCTTCCGGACATGGCTGTGTCGAGAAAAGCGGTTCCCACGCCGCCTCCGCCCCGACCTGCTTCGGCCGCATCCAGTAGCTCTCTTGCTACTCAAAAGTCAAAAGCACCGCCCCCTGTGGCCAAGAAGCCGGCGCACCTCGCAACCATCTCCCCTGCGGGCAGCCCAACAATCCACCAGAGCAGCGAGATGGCAGTGGCGCAGCGGTCGAGATCGCCAGCACAGGCGTCGACAAGCATGCGGGAGTCAGCGGCGCGGCTGGATGGCAGCACCTCGAGAAACCAGCAGCAGCAGCACCTTGACGAGGCTCCCGCCGACTATAGACGGCCATTCACGGCCACATCAAAACCCGTTCCCGTGCCTCCTAGGAAGAGCGTCCCAGAGGCGATGCCCATCCGCAGAGCGCCGGTCGGGGTGGTGGGAGCGGGGGTCGGGTCGGCTACAGGGCAAGGACAGCTACCGCCAGTGCTCCCGGCTAGGAAGCCGACGGTACCACTGCAGAAACCGAAACCAGAGTACGCGGCGGCACGACACGGTGCACTCCCAGCAAGCGAGACGGATCTTCTTGGCGATAGTGGCAATGTGTTGACTGGATGGAAAACACTCAAGCCCACATGATTTGATTGCTGGGCAGGCGTCGGCCGTGGGTTTAGATTTAAATGTTGGGTAGCCGGAGTTTGGGGCTCACATCCGGGTCGGTGGTGAGGCTTTGGTTACTAGAATAGAAGGTGGCATGGAAAGAAAGGTGACCTGAAAATGAAGCTAGGGACATGGACGCGGGGATAAAGTGATGGAGGTCTTGGTGAGTGTGGGGTAGTCACAGACGACGGATAGACAGACAGGGACAAATCAAATACTCAAAGCAGCCGCTGGCTGGCAGTTTATAGGCAGAAACTTGCGTTCCCGTTCATTAACATTGCAGGGGAAAGACTACCTCGGGATGTGAACGAGTGTCGCCATTCGGTATATGTATGTATATACGAGCGAGGTATATGTACAACTGAAACCAGAAAGGCGAGGAGAAATGGCCTTGTTTTGCGGCAGGACTGTCTTTGCAATTTAGGTGCCTGTACCTCCTGTCCCTAGGTAGATACCTGGTTGCCCGTGTGCTTCAAGGTTGGCTATGGCGTTTTGTGCTTTTGCAAGAAAGTTTGAAGCGTATACCTTTTTGTCAAGAGTGCGCTCGTGATGGTGACACGGGAAAGAGAGAAAAAAAAAAAGGGAGAGATAGATGGATAAGAGACAGCAGGGCAGAGGCTACCGCTGCAGGGTAGGCCCGCTTCTGGTCAGGACTGACCCCACGCCCTTTTAGAAAGCCGGTTTGGCGTTCTGGATGAGCATCTCAAAGTACTCCTGGTTCCACTGGCCGGCCTCGGGCGAGGGCTTGTAGGCGTCGCTCATGCCGCAGAAGCTGTCGTAGCGGTTGGCACCCGTGTCGCTGGTGCCGTCGGACTCGCCGCCGGGCTTGACCCAGACGAAGGCGTCGGCGAGCTCGAGGCCCGTGTTGGCCGTGGGCCTGACGCCGAACCCGGCCCCGTTGACGTTGCACCAGTGCCCCCACTCCTCGCGCAGGCCCTGGACGGCGTTCCGGCCCGTGTCGACGAGGGCGTGGTTCGGCATGCCCGCCGACTTGAGCAGGGGGGCAAAAGTCTGGACGTATATCTTCTCGTTCTGGCACTTGTTCCACTGCGCGTCCGTGGCGCCCGAGAACTCCCCCGGGGACAGGTCCCAGGCGTTCCAGCCGGCCACGTTTGTGGTCCAGCCGCGGAACTGCTTGGGGCTGCCGGCGGCCTTGTAGGCCTTTGCGAGCTCCTGCGCCCCCGGCTTAAGGTTGTCGTTCCACCCGAGCCAGCCGCCGTGGCCGGCGTCGATGTACTGCACCACGTTGGGCAGGTTGAGCGTCTTGAGCGCGTACGCGACGCCGTCCCGGTAGCCGGCCGCGCTGTTCTTGCAGGTAGCCAGGTCCGCGTTGGTGACGAGGTTCGGGAGCGAGTCGGGCTCGATCAGGAGCACGAAGGCCGTGTTGGAGTGCTGTTTCAAGAGCTTGGCGATGGCTGTGGGGGTGGGGGGTGGGTAACGATGTCAGTCAGGGGGGGCGTGCGTGCGTGCGGTAAAGCCAGAGACAACATCTAACCGGACACACCATCCGATCCCGTCCCGCGTCTGCACACACACAAACAGACCTGCAGGTGTTCCGTAAAAGAAAAGGGACCAGGGAGGCGTGACTCACGGTCAATGTATTCTGTCTTGTACTTGCTCAGTTCGCCAACCTTCAGCTCGCCGTTGGAGGCCTTGGCGGCGCAGTCGCGGCCGGGGAGGTCGTAGATGACGAGGCCGAGGATGTGATCGCAGGGGACGTCGGCAACAGCCGGCTCAATCCTGGAGATGGCGCTTATCGTGTCGCTGTTTTCACGCACATAGGACATCCGGTCAGCACAACCGCAGAAACAAGTGCCCCCCATTTTTTTTTTTTGATAGATCTACGCCATCGCCTCTGCCTCGTTGCCGGCGGCACCTCCAAGAGCCCACAACGCCCCCTTTTCTCCATGTGAGAGTCCCCCAACTTACATCCACAGGAAGCTGCCGACGTCGGCAACCTTTGCGGCCGCCTCGGCCAGGCTGGCGTCCGACATGGACTTGACGGCCGCCTCGACCTCGGCGCGGTAGAAGCTGTTGGGGTGCAGCGTGTACTTCTTGAACACGTTGGTCGAGGCGTCGAGCGTGACAGCCGAGGAGCAGCCGGCCACAACCCGCCTGGGTAGGCCATTGAGGGTCTTGGAGGGCGAAGGGGTGGCGATAGCGGCGGCGCCCACGAGGGCCAGCAGGGCAGAGTGTGAGAACTTCATCTTGGCTTTCTCTTTTTCGATCCTTCCCGCGTTTCTCTGTCTGACAGGGCTCTTGGAAAGGTCTTGGGAGCGGTCCCAGATACAGTGCTGGGGAACGGAGAGGCTAGAGATCGGCGAGACAAGGTGGGCCCCGGACAGGACCAAGAAACGGCCAAGCCTATTCTTTATACCCTGGACTGGACCAAGGCGGCCTGGCAGAAATGCTTATACCGATGTCCTATATCTCGGGCTTGGATCTCCGGATTAGCATGGCAGTCCAGGCCCCTCCCAGCCGTGAGGGGTTCGCCATCCGTGTGAGATGGTGGCTTGTCGGCTCCACACGACGGGATGATCAGGACGCGTGGAGAAAAATCAGCGAAGCGAGATCATCCTAGTTCCGGATCGTAATAAGGAATCGAGGCCCGTGGACGGCATGGTGTCTCGGTACGCATCTTCCGAAGGAGGTCACCCACAAGCGCCTGGTACGCCCGTCCATGGTAGGGGTCCCACAGGTAGAACGTCCCTGCGGAGGGGGAACCCAGCATTGCGGCGGCGGTTCGTGAGGGTGGAGGCCAAGGTTTTTGCCATATAGGCTTCATTTCTGCCCACTCAACGGGACGGCGGGACGGGGGAGCCTTCTTCTGACCATGTGCATCAACGGCAGAGATCCGAGGAGCCGATCAGAGAGAAAGTGGTGGAGGAAGAGCGAGCTGCTTCAGTGTCTCCTCCTGCATCTCTGGGAAGACATCGTGCAGCAGCGCCACTTGTGATGAGAGAGAGAGAAAGAGAGGGACCTGGGCTAGAGGCATTAGGTGGCAGAGAAGGGGGAGCAAGGGCGCGCAGACGAGACCTCAGGAAGCGATAAGCTCCGAGAAGACTACCTCCTAGCTCGAGAATTTCCCTGCCAACCAGGTCCGAGCCGATGTGCATGATATGCACAGGCACGCCTGTAGCCTTACCCCGTGGGGATGGTGTCGTAGTGTGTTCGCGACAGCACGATATCACCACCCACTCAAAAGACCAAAGCCAAGAGAAGCCGCCACCGAGAAAAGGCCAGATGGTAGTGCAGAGATGGTTCTTCAATTATCACAGCCAGGCTAATGACAGGCAGACCGGCAGCTGTTCCCGGGACGGATACCACCACAGGGTCGAGATTGCTGCTATAAGGAGTCTTTTGCTCCATATGCCGGCGGGCTGCGCATCATGGCAGGTTGAAGAGCACAGGAGCAAAAGCATCTCTGCGATGGTAGGGTTCCACGAGAGCGGGATGGGCGGCCGCCGGTGGTGCTGCTTTAATATGCGAATATCAGAAGGTAGCTGCGCTTGGGGCGATTTGCTTTAACTCGGAAGTTTTTCTCCCCGCGTTTTTTAATATGTTCTTGATGACTATTAGCCGGGACGGGGCAGCTCCTGGTAATCGAACCGGATGGGATGACACCTGCCGTCGCAGCGACGATGGTTTGGGACAGAGTGATCCAGAGAACCCGAATAGTTGGCCGGCCCGGCTAAAAGAGCCCCCGATCCATACGTCCCACCTGGCAAGTCCGGTGCCGGGGCGGAGTGAGCAGGTTTCGCTCGACAAAGGCGACAGTCTCAAATGGCTCGCTTAGAGTAGCAGTCTTGGGTCAGCCGAGACCTTTTGCATAGTGCACGATGGGTGCTTTCTAGGGGAGGGTAAACAATACGACATATGTACGCAGATATATGTCTGTTCCCACGCTCGAGCGCAAGAGTACTGGTGGATGTATATCTAGGCACGCAGCAAGAAGCACGGACTGTGGCGGACTGCAAATCTGCTATCTGGCCGTGAATGCCCACGCGCGTCAGTTAAGGTGTACAAAGGTTGATGCCAGTTGCGCGCTGAGCTTATTTGGGGTGTCAGGGTGGCCGTTACGAGGGAAACAACCAACGGATATTTGATCCGAAGCACGAGGACCCTGAAAAAGCTTCCTTGGCAAGACAAGCACAATTAAACGAATCTTCCGATTCGGCGGGCTGATGGTTGGGAATCTTGGCCAAAGCACGTCACACTGCTGTAGTGAGCCAGGGAAAGATATTTCGAGTGTCTGAGAAGATGAACAGGTCATGGGAATGTATTCATCGTTTTTTTGCCTCTTCCCATAGAGACATCCAGCCGCCGTCGTATTGGCACGGCATGCAGTATGTGGTTGGTTAGTTTTCATTTTGTCTAGCCTTCTGGAGATCCACTCGCCACAATCGAAACAAACAAAACGTAGTTGCCATCCGGAAAGGATCGCTAGAAGAGCAGTTTATGGGCGCCCCGGCCAAGAGCAAATGACACCTCGTGCCCAGCAGCGCCTGAGCTGCCACGCCTTTTACATGAAGGGAGGGAGCGAGAAGGGGTAGCCCTGGTTCTTCATGCGGAAGACGCTCAGCAGGAAGCTGTACATGACGACAAGCACGCCGCCCCAGACGACTACGGCAACCTGTTGAAGCTTCACGTCGGCTATCCGGGGCACCTTCACAGCCAGCGAGATGGCGGCAAAAGAGAGGACACCGTCTGGAGCCGTAACTAAGTCAGCACGCTCTCGCGTAAAGATGGCCAGGGGCCCTCCAGAATCCAGGGGTGGAGCAGAGAGGAAATACGAACACATGGCAGCGACAATCTGCGTCTCTAGGCCAAATTGGTTCTGGAAACCGCTGGCAAAGTACGAGATACCGCCGCGGCCGTCGCCAGAGACATATGGCACGTGGCGGATGTGGTTGAACATGTGGCCGCTGATAAAGACGAGGATGGCGATCATGGTCAGGCCGGCCCAGACGTTGCGGTTCGTGATGATGGGCACGACGTAGGGCCATGCGAGGACGGCGGCGGTCGATGTGCCGAGCACGATGATGGTGCTGGTGACCCAGCGCATCCAGTTGATCGGGCGTCTGACCTGCGGGTGAGGCCGGTCGGGGAGGTGGCGGCTCATCCAACCGTGGACCTGCTCGGCGGTTTGGGGGCTGGGAGGGTCTGTGTTAGTACGAGAAACAGCTCGTAGAAGGCGGGTGCGCCCCGGGGTCCAGTGTTGGCATACCCAGTGTTGAAGTCGTATCGGATCGGCTCGCCGCTCGGGGCGGCGTGCGGGCCAGTGGTTGCGGGGAAGAACAGCAGGACAGGAGCGGTTTGGAGCCCCAGCTGTGTCCAAGGTCGGTTCTGTCAGTGGCTTGTCAAGTGGGAGCAGCAAGCGGCAGCAGGGACTCACGCTCATAAAGGTGTCTCTGCCGTCGCTAAAGTCCAGGGTAGCGTAGATGAGGCGAGACTCGGCCTTCTTATCACCCTTGAACCAGCTGCGGGCAAGCAGTTCCCACTCGGGCTGGAACTCGCGGCACAGCTGGCAGCCGTAGCGGGCGTCCATGGCCGTCAGCAGGACCGCCGCGCTGTAGTCCCTCTTTGAGTTGGTGAGGCGGCTGTACAGGTTGTCATCGAGCTTGACGGGGTTCTGGGCCTGCGACTTGGTGCGGAAGTCCTGGAAGCGATCCACGGCGGCTTTCTTGGCGGCGAGGGCGCCGCCGGCCGAGACGAGGGAGGCCACGAGGACGGAAAGGAAGCGCATCTTGAGCGGCGATGCAGGCACGAGAAAGGTCAAGAGAAGGGGAGGAGCGCCGACTACCAAGGACAACAATGTCGATGGCCGGGCTATATCAAATGCGTTCGTCAACGACCGACTGGGAAGCCGTCGCAGCTGCAGGCCTCGATTGGTTTCACACTCTCAATGCAATCCAGCATCCACCATGTGTCCTCAATCAATTGCCGTGGCTGAAGCTCCGTCTTGCAATGATGCGCGTCACTGTGGCTGCAATCTACAGGGGATGTGTGGCTGTAGCGCTAGTCTGCTTACAGCAGTCTGTTTACTGCTAAGGCTGAAATGCTCCGCCCGATTTCTTAACCCTGGCTTTGCACGTCCCTTGCCGACACCCACCGATGAGCCGCACAGTAGCGGTCCGGTGATTTACGCGTCAACGCCCCTCAAAGCCGCACATGGTTTGAGCTTTCCTCTTCGTGTTTTCCCGTATCTTTTTCCTCTCCTTGGTTGATAGTATTCCCGTCCCGGAGCACGTTTTCTACGCGTTCCTTCAGTCTTGATCATTATGCCAGCAAAGCGAGTAATTATGGATCGCGATGAGGTATGCCCGCACTAAGAGGCCATGGACGCGTGGAATACTCGGCAGACAGATCGAAAGTGCTCGCTAACGCACAGACATGTTCAACCAGAGGACAGACGCGTTGCACGCGGCCGAGATGAAGCACCAGCGAGACTCGATCCAGTCGACGATAGTGGTCAAAGACGAGGAGGTCCGGCGGTCAAGAGTGCGGTCAACCGTGCTACGCGGCGATATCGCGACCCTCCGTACGCAAGCAACGCAACAGAACGAGCGCTACGAGAAGCTGTCGAAGCAACACAGCGATGCCCGCAGCAAACTCATGACGGCAACAAAAAAGTCCAACGAACAGGAAAAGAAACTCAAGACACAGACTCGAGAAATCGCGGCTTTGAGGGCCGAGCTTCAATCCTTGAATGATGTTTCTCAGGACTCGACGAAACTTCTCTCGGAGAAGCTCGCACTGACACGCGAGCTGGCAAATCTGAAGCCGGAGCTAGAGCATCTCAAGTCCCAGCTAGATCACCACAACGAGGTGCTGGCCGAAAAGCTAGCACTAGAGCGCCAAGTCAACACCCTGGAGGTTGAACTGGCAAACGAGAAGCGCGCGGCTCAGCGCGCAATGCAGAAGCAGGAGAGCAAAGGCAGCGAGGTCGAGGATGAGCTCCGGGAGCAAATACGGGACCTCGAGAAGAAGCTGGCGGCTGAAAAGCGCGCCGCTCAACGCGCCAAGGATGACGCCGACAAGGAGGGCGCGCTCGAGGAGGCTATGCTTCTTCAACAGAAGGAGCTGGAGGAGCGGTTGGCCGCGGAGCGGGCTGAGAATGCCAAAAGCCGGAGGGATGTCGACCGGCAACTGACCGAGACCCAGGCCGAGAATGAGTTTCTCACAGAGCGGTTAGGCGAGATGAAGGCCAAGCTGCGAGAGACTCGTCAAGAGCTCAAGGACTGTCGTGCTGAGCTCCAGGAGGCCAAGAAGACAGCGATCTCGCGGGCAGTCGAGGAAGCCGTTGCGGCCAAGACCAAGACCAAAACCAAGGCACAGACATCGCGGAAGCGCCGTGCCAAGGACGCCGACGAGGAACCTGATATCCTTCAGACGCCCGTACAAGACGAGCCGCGTGCCAAGCGTCCGCTTAAGAAGCGCGGCCTGGAAGCCCTCGTGGGTGAGAAGTCTACATTCTCCATCACACCATTCCTCACCAAGACCATCAACTTCGCAGACGGTCCCGTGGACTTCGCCGCTGGAGGCGGATCTCCCAGCGGTGCACCCGCAGGCATGGAAGTGGATGAGGAGGACGAAGCAAACGCATCTACAGACGATGCAGACGACGCAGATGCTACAGACGAGGTCACAGAGCCCGTCGAGCCTGCATCCATCGTCAGCCCCTCGCCAGCTCCCCAGAAGATTTCCGCAAAGCCAGCCAAAAAGGCGGCTTCGACAGCCAAGGAGCCAAAGCCGCGAGGCAGGCCAAAGACGAAGGTAGCCCTCCGCGAGTCCCCATCGGCCAAGAAAAACATGTCCCTGACGAGCAACGGCAAGACCCCTCGAGGCGAGAACACCCTAGAGAAGGTCATGGAAGAGGACGAAGAGGGAGGGGATGAGGCGCAGGAAAACAGGACCGTTTCCATGGCCTCGTCCAAAGCAAAAGCAGCGACAAAGGCGACGCCCAACGAGGCGAACCCTGAGGTCGCTGGCGTGTCCGAACGCACGAGCGGTGCCAGCTCCGTAGCAGCAGAAGCAGAACCTAAGAAGAAGAAGCGGAAGCTGCTCGGTGGAGCCCCGGCAACGCTTTTCGAGGACGATGATGAGGGCGCTGTCCAGCCGGCGGCCGCGAAGCGCCCAGCAGTTAAGATGCAGTTGGGGGCCAAGAAGGGTCAGCTAGGCAAGGTCAAAAGCGCCGCGGCGTTTGCTGGGAAGGCATTCTCGCCCCTCAAACGGGACCGGCGTGGGGTAAACGCGAGCTTTTTGGCTTGATTCTCCATGCGCCTACGATATTGTCATCAATCCTCCTCACTTGTAAAGATGAATTACTCGCGATCATGAGAAAGCATTCCAGGGGCGTTTTTTTTTGTTTTTTTTGGATTGGGTGGGTACGGACTTCATGGCTCCATTTGGCTAAGGCGGGCTATAGGGTAATCTTGTATCAGTAAATGGCCATCAGACATGAATATGTGAGAAGCTGATGCTTTATTCATCAGACAGTCTCGTCATTCTTGATGCTTTTCATTTCTCAATGGTGTCGTGATAAGGGTGGCTTGTTTTTCTCATTCTCTCTCTCGCAGATGAGTTTTGACGACACGGCCAGGTTAACGCACAGGCCACAATCTCCTTCGCCCAAGAAATTCGCACTTTCAACCTCATCTGGAACAAAACGCCAACTACCCTACCCTTACGTGCCTCAAAAATTCCACATCAGGAACCAAAATGGGGCACGTGATTTCGGCATCTCATTCATTTATGCATTAAAGTATCACCATACTGCCTCGGGCCTCCTCTTGTTTCCGCAGCTGCACTTACCATGCTGAAGCTCAGCGGCAGCACCCTTCCGGTCCTGCGCCGAGCAAGCGGGGGGATCCGGAGGTCTCTTCCATCCAGCCTATATGTCCCAGCTGCCGCCGCCTGCCTGCCGCTGCCCACCACCTGTGGCGGCGGGCCCCGGACGCGGCAGGGACAAGCCCGCCCGTCCTCGTCCAGTTCCCGCTGGAAGGCGAGGCAGGAGAGCGACCAGTATGCCCGGGAGGCCAAGGTCAAGGACCTGAAGAGTCGGGCAGCTTTCAAGCTCTTGCAGGTGCGGCAAACACACACCGAACCGGCCTGTGTCATGTATGCCGTGGGATGAGGTGGATGAAGATGGCCGGAATGCTTACACACGTGTTTGGGTAACTTGCAGATTGATAGAAAGTACAAGCTGTTCAAGAAAGGGTCGCTGGTCCTCGATCTGGTACAGTATTCCCCGGCTCTTATCGGGCTCCCTGCCTAGCCACACATAGCCTCAACAGTCGCTATACTTGCATGAGAGAAAGGAACTTCCCGCTCTCCTGGTTGAAGCTATACTCACACCCGACGCGTGGGAATGGAGGGCTATAGGGGTACGCTCCGGGGAGCTGGTGCCAGGTCGCCATGGAGCTGACCAAGCCGACGGGCCGCGTGCTCGGCGTCGACCTCATCCCCGCGCAGCCGCCCAGGGGCGTGGGCACCCTCCAGGGCAACTTCCTGTCCCCGACGGTGCGCCGCATGACCAAGCAGCTGATCGCCGAGATGCACCACCGCCAGGTCGAGGACAAGGCGGCGGCGCGCCGGACTGGCGACGGCGCCGACGACGACAACGTCGTCGCGGACCGGCCTAGCTACATCGACATGGAGCACCGCGCCTCAAAGTTGGAGGAGGCAGTAGAGCCGGCCCAGGAGGCCGAGTCCTCGCCGTCCTCGTCACCCTCGGCCGCGTCCGCGGGCCAGAGCCGAGGGGGAAGGGGGGAGGAGGGAGAAGCCGAGGCACCTGCTGCCACCACCAAGCCCGAAGAGAAGAAATATTTGGATGTAGGTTCTCCATCCACAGTCGAAAACGCCATCTCGGGTTCCCTTTCCATATCAGTGTTTCAGTTTCGACTTTCTTTTGCTGCACAGCCTCCAAAACAAACAAGAAGAGAGAGGATCAGAAAATCTAGCAAGATATCTAACATTTCGATACAAACACGGCTACAGATAGTACTGAGCGACATGTCAGAGCCTTGGCCCCAGACCTCCGGATTCCGGGTGAACACACTTAGTAATCCCTATCGCAGGCTGATGAACACGAGCGGGATACCCTTCCGAGACCACGCGGGGAGCATGGTTAGTACAGCCGCCACTAGGACTGGAAAGTTGAATATCAAGATGGATAAAACCTCCAGGCTCCCGACCCAAGCCCCCCACACAGTTACTAACCTGGCAACTCTGAGCATTCCCCTACAGGACCTCTGCACTGCGGCCCTGGACTTTGCCAACGAAACCTTGAGGCCCGGCGGCCACTTTGTCTGCAAGTTCTACCAAGGCGCCGAGGACAGGGACCTGGAGAGGAGGCTCAAGAAGCTCTTCTTGAAGGTTTACCGCGAAAAGCCCGAATCTTCAAGAGATGTGCGTTGAGTCTGCATGCGAACGTCTTCCCCCATCCATCTACAGCCCTGAGCTAACACGAAGAAACTGCAGGAATCCAAGGAGATGTATTTTGTGGCTATGAACAGGAGGCCGAAAGTCAACCTTCGCGAGACTGGGGGTGCTTGAGACATCTTTCATATTATAATCAGTCGAGGATCCAAGGGACTTTTCATGTTGTTGGAGATATCTCGGCCGCCATGGGTGGCAGGCCTGTACAAACACTGTATTCTACGCTCAGTCTCATCCCCAAAGGCCCGGAATCTGTATATACCAGAATAGGTACATACCTACCTACCGTAGGTACCATGTATGAATAACGACTCGACTTGAAAGGGTACCGGCATCACGTCCATCACAATGCACATACACTGTCGCCAACCAACTACAGAGGCTGTGGGATCAAAGGGACAAGACTAAGGTGGACATCGAGGCATCTCAATTCATTTGCATTTTGACCTTCTGGTATGACCATTTTTCCACGCCGAACCATGCCAACTCCATTGTTGCGTACCAGCAAAAGAAACCCCGCGGAGGCAGCAAACAGCGCCCAACCCTGAAAGAGAAGTAGCTGCGCTTTTCCGCAGCCGTCCCAGTAACCAGCAAAAAAAGAAGAAGCCGTCGATAAAGAACAGGAGGGGGTAGTGTTGTGAGGAGGCTGCAAGGTCCATTTAGACCTTGAAACCGCGCGATCGTCTGCGACCACGAGCCTTCTCGAACTTGCGGCCCTTGGACTGGAGGTAGGGCTTCTTGTGCTTGTGGGGACCGAAGCCAAAGTGCTTGACGGCCTCGCGGGCGTTCTTGGGGCCGCGGAGCAGCAGGGTGTTGGCACCCGTGGGCTTCTCGAGCGCCAGCTGGTCTAGGGTCAGAGCCTGGCCGCCGGCAGCGAGGAGACGGGCGCGGGCGGTGGCCGTGAAGCGGAGGGCCGCGACCGTGGCCTTGGGGGTCTCGACCAGGCGGTTGTCATCGGTGACGGTGCCGACGACGACGACGGTCTTCTTCTCGTTGCCGTTCTTCAGGTTGCCGGAAATGCGCGAGAGCGAGACGGGAGGGCGGTTGGTGCGCGACATGAAGAGGCGGCGCAGGACAACCTTGTTGAAGCTCGAGTCGGTACGGCCTGGGCGGGGTGGTACGGCAACGCACACCACGGGTTAGAGAGAGGGCAGGGGCAAGGCAAGCCGACGCAGGCAGGAAGTCAGGCAGGCACTCACGAGCCAGGAAGCGGTAGAGCTTCACGAGGAGCTTCAGGTAGACATTGTCGCTCTTAGGGGCCTTGCGGTGGGTGCTCCGCACGTGGTGCTTCTTGAGATCGATACCTATTCAAAGAGACAGTGGGCTCCACGGTCAGCCTATTGATCGTGTATGCTTTGTGTTTTGGCAGCCAGGTCTGGTGACGGGCGAGGGCCTCCCCGGCGAGCGGGCAAGTCCTCGCCCGTCAGAAGACGGCGCGCAAAAGAAGGGGTCGCAGAGATATCGCACGAATGCGATATTCCACTCGCACACATAGGCGATCCATTGGAATCGTCTCACGTACCCATGGTGGCGGCTACTCGTGATGTTGCTGATCAACGAGTGCTGGGCTTCTTTGCTGTTGTGGTAAGTTGACCAAAAGGAAAAAAAATCTGGGCGGGCACTTGGAAATTCACCTTCTGGTGCAGGAGAGGGTACGAGCAGTTGGGTGGGGACGTGGTGGGCAGGCGGTGAAATGCGGCAATTAGGGCAGGCGGAGCAGCCCCTGCTGGACAAGCTCAGACCTGTGATTGCTGAAATTCAAGGCAGAAACTTTTGCAACAAACACTGCCGATTACGTAATAGCAATGTGCAGTAGGTGGGTCCTTCTGTCCTCCTCCTCCTAAGTGGGTCAGCAATGCACCGATTCCACCCCTGGGAACCCACGAACCCCATGGGGAGAATACCACCTCCATCATACGCGAGCTGCAGGCGGAGTATCATTCGAGATCGCTGTTGAATGCACTAGCTGCGAGGCCTGGGCACATACGTATCTACCTAGGTAATACCTATTGCACTGCCTGAGCGCAGCATTGTTCTTATCTATCTTCTGACTTATCCAAGCAATCCATTCTATCCATCCCACATGAGCAGAAAATGCCCGAATGTAGGTTAATAATGCATACCTACCATCTATTTACGAGGCACCAAGGCAGAGGTGACGAGTTTTTCCTGTCGTTCGATACCTGTGCCTTGAGATACACAAGCATGTACGCTCTGCAAACCCGTATGTCGGCGACTCCATATCCCATGCCCATCCTCATCCCCCGAAAACCCTTCTCGAGTGACTTCCGAGTTTAAGAATAAAAACAAAAGCCATGCCCCTCTAGTAATATTAGGTATAACTCTTTCCCGTGTTTCTGTTTTGAGGTTATTACAAGCTCCTGGGTCATCCCAGTGAAGCAGTCATCCCGTCGAAGTAGTCGGTAGCATATGCTAGGGGGAGTCTGCTAGCCACGTGGTGATAGAGCCGATGGAACTTGGTGGTTGAGCACCCGGGTGCCCAGCGAGGTGGCCGATGGTTGGTGGTGTAGGTCTTGGCGACGCTCTCTATGTGTATCTAAAAAAAGACAAAGAAAAAGAAAGCCAGGAATCTCGAAACGCCAATGTCGAGAAAGATACCCAGTTGCCGACACGACGGCCAGCGATCGTTCGATTCTTCGGCCGGTCACATGTAGGTGTCTAGTTCCGTGTTTATTGCCTGCCGTCTCCATCGGGGCTCGGCTCGGCCTTGAGCGCCCAACAAGAGAATCCGTTTTGCGCCGTCTCATCCTCGGGTAGTCATGTCAGGCAGCCTGAACGAGATTCATCATAGGTCGGCTTCCTTGGGATCGAGGGAGACGAAGAAATCCCTGACGACCTCAAAACTCAACCAGCTGGAGGCCATGCTCGGTGCGACTTTCAAAAGATTCGGGACGATGCCTTTGTAAAGGCCCTTGGGTCCCTCGTGCATGAGTATGACCTTTATGGCGTCCGGGATAGACTTGTACTGGTAGCCCATCCCCGACATGGTGTTGATCTGGAATCGCCGGCGGAGAACATCACTGCGCAAGCCTCGGGGGTCAGTTGCTGGAGACAGAAGGAAGATGAGCTCGAGACACTCGAGACCCTCGGTCAACTTACAATGGATAGGTGCATGTCTGCGCAACTGCGCCAGAAATTGCGCCAGCAAGAAGCTTGCGAGCCGCACTGGGGTTCTTGTCACCCTCAGGGGTAAGATGCGTTCGCATAAACTCATATGTCATGAAGTTCAAGCCAACCTAGACCAGTGAGAGAGATGGGACACATATATTAGTACAAGTCCAAGGTTCCCTTCCAACGTCCTTGGCATCAGCATAAATCCCCGAGGGCACTCACGTATGGGGCGACGCCAGTAACAGTCGGGACGATGCCGCGGTACAGGGCCCGGATCCCTCCCTCATCCTTGTACATGCGCACCATGGTGGCCCACATGCCCGGCAGCTCCCCCCTCCTCTCGCCCAGGTCGGCAAAGGATGCGGACTGGATGGACAGGCGGGTCCGGACAATGTCAAGCGGGTACGTGAAGGTGACCGAGGTGATGCCGGCGATGCCGCCGCATATGAGGCGCTCGAACGGGGTGAGGTCGGCGCCGGGGGTCGACTCGAACAGGGTTCTCTTATAGAAGCCGTAGGAGCCGAACTGGACGGCCGAGTAGGGTACGATGCGTATGCAGTTGGTGCCGTTGCCGCGCATGCAGCCCCTCCAGCCCTCCTCCTGCCACATCTTCTTGAGCGCCTTGCCGACCGAGAGCTTGTACTCCTCGCGGCCCGCGCTCTGGATCTGGAAGAGGATCTTCAGCCTCTCGAGCGGCGAGACGACGGTGCGCGAGACGGCGCCCGCGATGCCGCCGGCGCAAAAGGCCGCGACCACGGGCTGCGATATGAAGCTGCGGGCCTGCGCCCCGGCCAAGTCGGACCGCGTCATCGGCGCCGACATGGCTGCTTCGGCGGCAGAGGGCGGCGGGTCGGTCGTGGCAGTCGTCGCGGGGGTCGGGGAGTTGGCTGTGCTTCCTAGCTTCTGAGTGGTCGGAGCTTAGCTTTGTGTTGTTGTCATTTTGGGCAGGCAGGAAAGCGCCTTGGAAGTTTTTTTTCCCTCTCATCTTTTTTTTCTCTTTTTTTTTTTTTTTTCCATGACCGCCGCCTGCTCCACCTCTGGAGAATTCTCTCCAGAGGAGAAGGGGGAGAAAAAAGTAAAAGGTATAAGAGTGAGGAAAGCAGCCGAAAAGGGGGGTATGAAATCATGCAAGAGCAACCTACCGACATGCCGCGAGAGGGTGGTCCTTCGAATGCCTGGTCGCAAGGATCGCAGCGCAGCCGGGCAGAGGCGGCCGGCTTCGGGAGTGAGTAAGCCGTGCGCGAATTCGATCAGAGCCGGGGCCCTGAGGCTAATGGCATCTAATTGACCACCTATCCGACGGCATTGAGCGGGTATGGGTGCAGCTGGCTTGCCCCTTTATCTGCCTGACTTCCTTCTTCGTCCGTCCCGGCCGAGGCAGTAGGCGGCGAAGGGGGCGCGGGCTGAAGGTCAATGGTTGCTCTGGGACTGCGGCTGCTTCCGGTTCTTCGCGGGTTAGGAGGGCTCGCTGCTGCCGCCGCTGATGCAGAGCTGGAGGTGGGAGTCGATGTCGCTGCGCGGGACGGTTTCTTGCGGGTCCGATATCATAGCAAGTCATAACATGAAAACCAGGAAAAAGTGGCTGGTCAAAATCGCCCAGGGGATAGGCACCGCAGGATCTTGCGCTGTACACCGAGGCCTCAACGTGATATGTGTGAGATTTCGCCTGTGTGTCCTGTCTTGCGTGACGGTTGCATACGGTCCCGACAGGCTGTGGAAGCGGGAACAAGTGACGACAGCGGTCTTGGTTGGGCCTGGGCGCTCCCACTCTCTGGGTCGGCTCAGGTCGGCGCAGAGGGCCGGCTGTGACCGAACCGTGACGCCCTACGCCCAGGGGGTGTCTTGGTTCCAGGGCCTTTGATAGGCCAAGAAGAACCTCGAGGGGCGCCCTCTCAAATCGCGGCACGTTAGGAATTCAAAAAGCAGACGGGACAAGGAAAGTGTTTGTTTCAATCAATACGACGCTGAGATTTGCCGACAATTGCGTAACTCCTGACTAGCTCCAATCCCAACGGCACTGTATTCAGTCCACTAAATAGCCTCCAGATGGAGGGAAAGGAAGTTGAAGTGAGATCTTCTCAAAGGGTGGCCCGGCCTCGACCATTCATCAACATTTTTTTCCCTATCTACCGGTCTTCTCACCGTCTCCTCGACTGCGTCAGGCGTCATCTTATTCAAGCATTAGACGTCCTTTGGACTTCGAGGCAGAGGCGCAACTCCCCCGCCACAACCAAGGCGAGCGTTTTCAGAGTACACACGAATCACAAGCGAGATCAAGATTGGCAAACATTCGGCATTGTGAAGGTAGGCTTTTCTAACTAAGAGCAAAACTAATTTACTTTCCCTTGAATGAAGTCCGGCGAGGCCATCGCGAAGGTGAAACGCCATAGGCTGGTATCCATTTCGATTCGCGTCGTTCGCGATTCCGTTCCGTTCCGTTCGATCGATTCGCCCGACTAACCGTGGATACCGTTTGTCTACACCGAATGGGAAAAGGAAACCGAAAGAGATCGACCGGCCGCCCGAGACTAGACAGGTGCAATTTCAAAAAAAAACACATCGCTCTCAAGCGATCTGGTAAGTAGTCCTTACGGAGAAGGAGAGAAAACCTAACCTAGCCTGCCGAGAAGATAGCGACACAAGATCAAGAGTGCGCAGAGAAAGGTTCCCTGAATCATCACTCGGCGACATCGAGATCGTCGTGAGCGGGGGGCGGGGACTCGATGGGCGCTGTTTCTGAATATGTTAGCATGTTAATCTTTGAGACTAAGACACTGTCAAAGCCGAGAACTAGCTTACCCTTGCGCTCATCACCATTGGTGCCATTCTCACGGCGGTCCTCACGATCGACATCCTTCATCTCGCGGTCGCGGTCACTATAAGACGGAATATCCTGTTAGTACTGCCGGCGTTTGGGATGTGGTTGTCAAAGTGAGAATTAAGCCATCACATACCGATTGTCGGGGCTGCGGGAGCGGTCGCGGTCACGACGAGAGTCGCGGTCGTAGTCGCGGTCGCGGTCACGGTCGCGGCGGTCAGAGTCCTTGCGGGGGGAGTAGTCCCGGCGACGAGTAGGCGATGGCGACCGGTTGCGCCTGGGCGACCGACGAGAGCGGTCACCGCCGCGGTCAGAGCCGCGGTCGCCCGCACGGTCAGAGCCACGGTCACCAGCGCGGTCACCCGCGCGGTCACGGTCACGGCCGGACTCGAAGCGCCACGAAGCCGAAGGGGGAGTGCGCGCCCACTACGTCGATTGTTAGCGCCTAGGAGGCTTGCGCGAATGAATGGTGAGTTTTCATACCTCGATCTTCAGGACGTCATCACGGCCAAGTCGCTTGTTATGCATGTCGTGATACGCCTCATCTGCATCGCGGCGATCCTCATACTCGACAAACGCGAAGCTGCTGACAATGTTAGAACGACTACGTTTCCCTTAGGTAAGTGATACAACGGAAAGCCGGGCGACAAACTTACAGTCGGCTAGACGCTGAGCGAGGCGCGGGGATGTCGCAGCGGACAAGTCGGCCATAGCTGCAAGGGAGCTCTTGTTAGTGACTGTAAACCGATGGATGAGGGAGGGAGTCTTCGAAATCTCCGCTGCTACATCGTCATGATTGAATGTGGAGGATGTGCCATCGTGGACACTCGGGTCTCGGGCCGGATATCGTGGCGAGCTCGGGCATCGACCGCTCGACCGTGTGACGACGATGAGAATGAAATGGGAAGGACTAGACGGTGGATGTAGGCAGGACGCAGCGGGATCGCGGGATGGGTTGGATGACAAGACGGAGAGGGCGACGACGTATACGACGAGGAGGGTAGGGCATCGGCATGTTTCTTCCGAGTCGATCGCGCGATTCGGGTCGTCGGCGAGGGTGATTATAGGACGTACCGTTCGAACTCGTAGGCGAGATCGCGGGCTCGGGTGCCATGGCTGAAGCCAGTAACATACAGCGTGGTTCCACCCCGAGACATGATGGCGATTTGATGGCAAGATGCCGGATCGAGAATGCAAGATGATGTTTGTCTTCGAGAGAAGAGCGGGATGGGGCCGACGAGGCAAAGCGTTTCAACGCGAGCCAAGTCACAAGAGAGGGTAGGGTGAAGGAATGATGGTGAAGACGCGTTGCCACTCGAGGATACTCGATGGACGCGAGAGTGATTAGAGCGCGCAGGATGGTATTCCGATCTCTGCGACGCTTGGGGGAAAAGTTGCGTGTTCTGGTGGTTGGTGGAAAGAAGGGAAAGTCGGGCCACCAGACCAGTTGTCGTGGTGAAGGTGGAATTTGGGAAGTGGTCCCGGCTGCAGCCTGTGCCTTTCCTCTTTTTGTGCTAGCGTTCTGCCTCAAAGCGGACTGGTGTGTGGGACCGCGCGGCTAAACCTAGTCGACTCACGTCATCAGCGCTGTGCGGATGTGGAGGCGTCCCAAGCTTAGGTAGCTCCTGGGCGGGCGGGCATTCAAGAAGAGACAGACCCCGGATATTCACTGCAAGGGAGGGATCAGCTCAGCTCCGTCCATGACCTTGAATATCCTTGTTCTGGCTCTTTTCTTGACACCATCTCCCCGAGCTGCGCGTGACCAAACAGCAAGTGAATGAAGTTGGTTCGTGGCTTGCGCGCCATGTCGTTTTGCCTTCACCTCCCCGTTGTTGGGGCTACAGGATCAAGTACAGGCTGCAAAGCACGCTCGGGCATATAAAAATCCCAAACCAGAACACCATATTTCCCAACGTAGCCTTGTCTCGTAGCCATCTTGTTCTGCTCAGGGCCATTAGCTGTACAAGGGGATGGGACTGTTAGAGCAAAGTTCAACAGCGTATATCTGGGCTGTAGAAGGAATCTTCTGAGCGGCCGTGCCTCGGACTTACTGGAACTTGACACATTTGAAGAACTAGAAGATAACCCCTGAGCTTCTTGAATATGCACCACATGACCAGCTCATGGACCAGGGCGGACAGGAAGAAGGTTATGAAGGTTGCCGTGTGCTTGTTGACCTTCAAAGCTGAAATGGAACTGTGATAGACATGCCGCAATAGGAAGTTGTGTACCGGCCTACGTTTTGTCAATCATCAGTTTTGCAGTCTTTCCGGACAGGAAATTCCCAACCGGGACAGAAAGCACTCACCGGTTCCAGTCTCGGGCAAACTGATCCCACGAAACTAGCCAGACGCGAAATGTTAGCTAAATCATACTGTTGAGACCGCCTCCCGCGGGCGTGGACGGCTTACCGCTGTTCCACCACGCGCCGTAAAAGCTCCTGTCTGCAAAGCGACATGCCTCGCCAAGGCCATTCAGAATGGTCTCCCAGATCAGGTACCAAACCAAGCTTCGACGTTGGTCAGTGGATGGACTTTGCTAGAGCAGCGCGGGCGCAGAATCGGAGACTTACAGGTACTCGAGCATAAAGGGGAATAACAGCTCGCTCAACATCCAGGGAAAGAACCGGAACCGCTCGGGCAGCGGAACCCCTGTCTCCTTCATCTCGATTGTCTTCATAACGACCGGATCTACGTATGGTATGGGCGTCAGTCTCAGCGCCGCCATGAGTTACCCCTGAAAGCCAATGGTGGTTACAAAGTAGCACATTCGTCGGAAGGAAGAGGCTCTGGTGATGACTTACAGATGGAGCTCTGGGAAATCATGATCATGGCAAATATGATACCGACCGTCGCGGCTATCTTTTCCGCCACGTATGCCCAGCTTACAGAGTGGGATCGCGGGTACTCTAGTTCGTAGACCAGCGTCGGCAGCAGGTTATACTCGCACTGGTTCCAGAGGGTAAGATTGTTCGGGTATGCTCGTTCAGGTGCCGTGGCCTTGCCCTTTAGCTCTTCTGTAAGCGCGTCGACCTCCCACCGCAGGACCTTTTCGAACACGGCGACCTGGTCTGCGTCCATCGGCTCCTTGTTCTTGATGGCCTCGGCAATCTTGTCGATGTCGCACTCGCCGCGCTTGTCTTCCCCAGTCGATGGCCTGTCCGTGACTATCTCGGATGGGCGCGGCGTCAACGAGGATCGACGCTTCATCAGGTTGTGCGCGGATGGCGTGCTGGCCAAGTGCGAAGTCGACACGGCTGTTGCTGGAGGCTGGGTATTGGAAGGTGACCGAGCTGGGGCGGTTTTTGCGAGCCACCCGAGCCTCGAGATCAGGTCCGCCCGGTTCTTGTACGCCGTCGAAAGATGGCCGTTATAAAAGGCGTAAGAGTGCTGCTTCATGAGCATGACGATGCCGTGCATGACGAAGAAGACGGTGTGTGACCACGGCCAGTCGCGGACCAGCGTCAGGCCCACAACGCCGGCGATGAACAGCATCTGCCAGACGTTCTGGATTATCCAGCCGGACCTGTCCCAGCTCAGGTGGCCGGCGAGGACGGCGCGCTGCAGTAACCAGCACACGCCCGTCAGCGCGCACATCATGGCGTCTGCGGCCAGCAGGACCGCAACGTCGCGGCGGAACATGGACGACATGATCTCGTTCCGGCCCAGCGGGCTGCCGTACGCCTTCCAGTTCTCGACCGCCATCTTGACCATGGCCAGGAACACAGCCATCCAGAAAAGAGTGAAGAAGCCGTGAAAGGGGCTGTTGGCAGTGGCCTCGTTGTTCCTATCAAAGGTCGAATAGGTGCGAGTGAAGTCAGGGCCCGTAAACTTGACGGCTCCTTTTTTCCTTTTACTGACCGAGTCTTCTGGTGACGGCTTGTCCCTGGCCCTCAAAGAGCTCCGTTTGAGGATCTCTTGGATCCCTGCGTCGTCGTCCTCGCTACCGACGATCACGTAGGGCTCCAGACTAGCGGTTGTCATCGCGTGGATATCCTCCAAACTGGGGTTTGTGCTCGTTACGTCCGTAATTCTCGCTGTAGTTGCCGGTTCTGTGGATATGTGTAAGAAAGCTGGCCTTCGTGGTGTGCTGTCGCTTCCACTCTCATGTGCAGCACCGGGCTTGGACCTCGCGCCGAAGAGCTTGCCCGCGCAATTCTTGGCTCTGTCTTGCGCCGAATCCATCGCTCTGGAAAATGGTAGCAGAGTGGAGAGTGTTGATTTTCAGATGAGATCGACTTCTAGAACGGAAGGGCTACTGAACAGGTTGATGAGCTCTGTACAAGCTATGATGCTGGGGCTTGAGCCGAACGATCCGTCGTGCCTAGCATTTATCAAGGGTTCAGTTCCGCCGTAAGCGTAACCGGCAAGCAGGCTCCCCTCCCTACCAGTATTGGCTGCCAACCAGGCACGCCATGGCTGCAGGAGGAGCTGGGTGGCAATCAATTGTAAAGCGGGGACCTCTCAGCGATAGAGCCGGATGGAGGGAGCTTACACTAAGGTGCTGCCACCTGGGTACGTCCTACCAAGGTGGTCGGCCCGGTTGCTAGCCGGAACTGCCGGCACGACTGACGACTGGATCAGGAGATGGCGGGAAGAGATAAATCTAGGGCATTTCAGTCAGGCTACCTAAAGGAACCGAAATACACCTGTATGGGAACCGAGGCACCGATTTCGGGGGTTTCTTCACATCCTGACTCCTGGCCTAGGTAGGTTGATAACACGTAATAGGATAGCATGTACCTTGGTCAAAAACCATGTCTAGGTTGCCGGTCGATATTAGGGTTGTTCTGCTCTCCAATGCTGCGCGGATAGCCTGCCCCGCCATTCCCGTCTGCAGAGCCCCTGCATCTTCGGGCAAGGGATGACGTCCCAGGCGGGCCCCAGGCTAGCCTGCTCGGCATTTCTCTGCCACCATGCTTGGATTCCGATGGGCTCGAAGCCCGCAGAGATCCACTCACTCATCGCCAGTCTCTGCAGGAGAAAGAAGGCAAGGGGCAGGCACTCGTGTGATGAGAAGGCGCAGATCTGGGTAGGGATGCGGACTGAACCCCACTAGATGCAAAATGTAACGTCAAGTACACGTGTTGGTGAGGGTTCTCACCTCGAGGGAGCACCTCGGGCGGTTGCCTTTCCAGCACGCCAGCTGTATTGGCTGTGGAGATCTGGGAACAATCCGCACTCGTCTCGGCTGCTAACCAGCCAGCGAACTTTGCTCGAGATATTCTGATTCGATGAATAAGACGACATACAAAAAAACAAAACACTGAAAGGCTTGTCGAGAAGGAAGAAGGGAAGGACGGGGTTCGCAAACTCGAGACCGGCTGAACTTTTTCTTTTCTAATCCACAGCTTGCACCGCAAAAAAGGATAGCACCCGGCCCTTGTAGTTCAATCGTCCAGGAACCGGGAATCACTGCATCTTCTCGTACGTCGCCATCAAGGAGCCTAAATGTGTAGATTACTTGTTAGAGACTGGTGGGAGCTAAACGTGATATAATGAAGACTAGAGAGGGTTGGGACAAGCGATAAAGGCTTACCAATGAAAGTGGTCACCAGACGGCTGCGGACCTGGCAGATATCTTCGGGTACCAGCCAGATCGTAGCGCCCATCTTCCTGGCAATGCTGATGCTGAGCTTCGCGTTGAGGTACGCATCTTCGTCGGTCCGTCCGGGCGTCACCAGCTCATAGTCGACGTAGCTGCTCTTCATGCCGTTCAGAACATCCAAAAGGAAGACACCTGTTCCAATGGCAGAGTCCTTGAAGGACCTGATGGACGAGCTCTGGCCGCCCTTGCGAGACATGTCGTTGGCCCACCTGACCATCTCGGCGTCCGTGATCTCGCGTTTTCCGAGCCGCTGGGCGAGCGCTGAGAGAGTCATGGTGATGTCCCTGCGCATTAGCTGCCATACGAGGCCTAGTGTGAGCGTCTTCTGGCCGTCCGTGATATCGGCACCCTGGATTCCGACCAGCGAGAAGCCGTTTTGTTTTCCGAGCTCGATGGCGTAGTTGGTGTTCTCCACCGCCTTGAATCGCGACATCTCACCACCGTGCGCGGGAGGCTTGTTGACGTGACGCCAGTTGACGGAGCCAGGGATGACCTTGTCATAAGCTTGCATCAGGACGGTGCCGTTCTGCAGATCATCGAAGAAAGACACGACCGCAGGCTGCACATCTAAACTGTTGAGCCAAAGAGTGAAAACCCTGGCCTCGCGCTCTCCCTCGGCATCAAAGTCCTCGACCTCCAACTTCTCCTCTTCGGTGATGGGGTCCAGGGCGGGGTGGGTGTTGAACAGGTTTGCCACAAAGGCAAGGTTCAGCTTCGGGTTTCCAGCGACCAGGGATTTCGGCGTCAGGAATTTGCGGCAGCCTAGAACGTCGGCGTTTTGAAGCACCTCTTCAGCTCGCTGGAGCAGGTCGTTCGTCTGCAGAGGCGCCCGCGTGACGCCGTACTCGGATCCGATCTGTGCCAGCAGAACAGTGTAGTTCTCGCCATCCTTGACGTCGCTGGAGAAGTTGTTGACTCTCCTAGGCCAGCTAGCAGCTTTGAGGTGGTAGTTGAACCAGCGGAGAAGGATCTGCTCTGGCGGCAACCTGAGGAACTGCTCCAGGGTCTCATCGTCCTCCAGCAAGCGGTAGAGCTCGGGATGAAGCTTGATGTCGATCTTGCCGAGAAGTCCTCTCCGGATGACCTGCCAGATGAGACCGAGAATCAAATGCTCGCGGACCTCGATGATGTCACCACTGCCAATGTTCACAACTGAACAGCCGATGCCCTTGGCCGATTCGATGACGATGTTGTTGTTCTCGGTCATCTGGAATGCATTGAGGTTCTTCGTCTTCTTGCCGGGGCGGTTGAGAACACGCTCATCGATAGTGTCGGGCACGCTGTCGTTGATGAGCTTGGCTAGAACAAGACCATCCTTGCACTCATCGAACATCTCGAAGGTGTCGGTCGGGAAGGGAAGACGGCTGCCAATGTCGGCGTCGCCGGCAAGGACGGCGTTAATGTGGCGTGTAAACTCGGTCCGCTCATCCTCGTTGATGGTATGGGTGATGTTCGCGTTGGATCCCTGGACCTGGATCTTGCCGCTGATGCTTGACTTTGAGGTATGACCGCCGGTTCTCTGCGCCACGACTCCTGACGGTGCTAGCGGTCCCGGGCCGGTCGACATGCGTTTCTGAGCGGGGGAAGAATCTCGGAGCTTTGCGATGAGCTGTTTATAGAAAGTTGTTAGCGCTCGCTCCATCTCTTTGTGCTTGGCCGTCCCGCGCGTTGAACACCGGATGATCTCATACCCCGACGTAATCCTCGAGCTCAACACGGCGTGACGAGTCCAGCTCGACTTCTTTCAGCGCTTGGCGGACAACATCGTACGGCTGGCGCTCGCTCTGCTGCGTGGCCTTGATGGCCGTGGCCTCGTCGAGGTATCCCTTGTCGTCAACATCGAGCTTCGCGAATGAGTTGGACAGCTCGAAGATCTCGTTCTGCTGGAACTGAGGGAATTTCCTGGTCACCGCCTTTTGTGTTAGCGCGAACCCCGCTCTACAGAGAGACACGCGGGAGGCGGAGAGCGAACCTCTGGAGCTTAAGGACATTCATGGCTGCTGAGATGATGGCTCGACCTCAGCGGCGAGGTGTTGTCGCAAAACAGTCGGCTGCCAAAATGACGAACCGCGCCAAGCTATCAGCACTGTTGGTGGAGTGCTCTGTGGTTCTGGTGTGCGGGAGGCTGCACTGGGGATAGTCCAAGTGATGTGTCTTGAATCTGGGTGAAAGCCAGCAGTGCTTCTTATTGCCTGGCCACGACGCGAAGGCAAAGAGGAGGCTGTGTCGCAATGGAGCCAGACTGCACAGGCGGGTGATCGTGGATGGCTCGGAGCTTGGAGGAACAGGGTGGGGGGTGGGGAGAGAGGATGCAGGTAAGCAGCACTGATGTAATGCCCCACCTGTTACACCAGCCACAGCGAGTTGCGTAGGCGACCACGCATTGTCCGACGAGTAGGCTTGCCTGGGAGCCTGGTCCTTGGAATTGGTGACCATGATTTGATGATCGATGTCTGCCTTGTTGAAGCGTGTGATTCCCCAGGCGCCCGGCTTATATAGCTCACTTATTTAATGATTTGAATACCCAGCGGCGAAGTCCCAGTGGCCATACATACCCAGGCGCCTCTGCCATTGTAACAACTGTAATGGAAACCTCATCGTTGGAACTTATCCTACCTATTTCATTTCATATTTCCTATTTCCTATATCCTCTTCTTTTCAATGCGACTCATTCTCATTCAGGGCTATAGGCTTTCGCTAAACGCCGTGGAAATTTCTCGGCCGCCATTAGTGAGGCGGCGTCAAACGATGCGGGGCAAGGGTTGCCACCCAGGATCATATCAGCTCAAGAGGATGGAGCTTGCTCTGAAAAAATGTTTTACAAGCTCTGATAGACGCCCCATCCCTTCGGCACCCGCTGGTGAAGAATTGTCCTCATATTAACATCCAGATTACGCTTTGCAAACTAGAACCACGTCGACAGTAGCTTGGACGGGGGCATCGGGATCACAGGCTCTCAAACTAAATCTCCTCATAAGTGCTTGTAAGTTTGGTACCAGCAACTTGAGCCACTTCTTTTGTGAAACAGGACCGCCACGTCCTTTGTTCGTTTCCCTCCCCGCCTCGACTGGCGACTGAACCGACGCCGTGGTGCCCAATTTACTCGGGGACGCAATGCATTGTTTACTGGCAAAGAAATACGGTACTCTGTTCCTTATTTTGCGAAAACAGAGTACCTTGATCTGAATCTGGTCTTAGTGCCAAGCCAACATCCCTCAGCTCTGAGCACTACCCATGCTTCTATCTACCTACCTTTTTCGTTGAATAGTATAGAAATCTCTACTACACGCCTGCCTACTAGGCACCTAGATTCAGGGAACACATCCCCTCGGTTACAAATGGCTATCTGACGTGTCCCCGGCAGACGATCTACCTACCGCCCACTAGGCACCGAGTTACCATGTCTGGGTGTGCCAGCTGTAAGGACCTGTTGGTGCTAAGCACCGACGAGGACGCCATGGAGGACGGCAACAACGCACCTGTCCCCGACGACCTCTCACTACCATGCGGCTGCCATTTCCATTGGTAAGCCATGCAGCCGGACCCAGGAACGAAAAAAAAGCGTTAAACTGCTGACCAATGCTACAGGCAGTGCTTTCTTGACTCTGCCTCCGATGTCGCCATCACGCTCAAGTGCCCTTCCTGCGGCGGCTACCTGCCGACCAACCAAGCCGGCCCCTCGACCACCAACTCAGTCTTCCCGGCCTCGCAGGACGTCGCGATAGTGACGCGCTACGAGAGCGAGGGCGGCGTCCAGGAGGACTACAACATCCTGCCCGACGTCACCGAGGAGGCCTACCTCCTGACGCACCCCGAGTTCCGCCCCGCCCATGCCTTCCACTCCATGTGCGCCGAGGGCAACGCCGAGGAGCTGCTGGTCATCATCGCCGACGTGGACTCCCCGGCCGCCGACGACGACGACGACGACGAGGCCGGCGGCCTGACGGTCGCCCAGCTCTTGAGGTACCAGGACCCGCTCGACGACATGAAGAGCCCGCTGCACATCGCTATCGAGAAGAACCAGGCCCAGGTCGCGCTCCTGCTGCTCTACATGGCGTCGGGACTGCCCGAGGACTCGTTCCCGGGCGACGCGCTCGAGGTTGCCAAGGGCCTTGGGCTCCGTCGGCCGACATTGGCCAGCCCGGAGGATGATATCAGGGCCCTGAAGGATGCCAATGGCCGCACTGCTGAGGAGTATGCCTACCAGGCGGGTGGCCCATGGATTAAATTTATAGAGGCAGGAATGTTTGCCTAGAGGACACTCAGACATAGAAACCAGCGCGCCAGCGCAAGCTAGATAGCAATACAAGGCAGATCAGTTGGCCAATTGGCTATCAATGAGGGGAGTGTCTAATCTCTTGTCACGGAGGTGGAATCTGTTCTATCAAGACGATGCTGGAAATGAGCATGGCAGGCAGAGATATATATCGCCCCTTGAGATGGCGTCGGGTTACAATGAAATCAGGTGACACGGATATCCATATAAGAACACAATTAATCTCAAGTGATCCAACTTCTTGCATTATCCATCGTCTCATCTCTTTGAAGGGACAGTCCTGTTGGAAAGGGCTTGAGACATGATAAAGTGAGCAACGTCTTCATCTGACCAGTATGCCATGTGCGAGGCAATCGTGTTCATAGGGTTGAAGTCGAGCGCGCTCCTATGGGCCCATGTTAGAAATCGAAGCGTGCCTTGAGAGTAATCATTTGCTTTGAGGAGGGTTGGATCTGGAAAGATGACCACTTACTCCTGAATGCTGTAGTCAACCCTGCCGTTCCTGTTCAGGGCCTGCACCTTCAACTCCTCTCGTCTCAGCCGCCTCGCTTTATGCTCCTCTTCTTGCCAGGCATCCTTGTTCTTGACGCGCCGGCTCTCGAAATTTGAATAGAGCGTCTCGAGTTCGTCGTCAAGCAGCGTGACATCGTTTCCACTGAAGCTCTCCTGTCGCTCACCCATCGAAGATCGAGCAAGCTGCTTCTTACGCTCAGCCGCCTTCTCCGCCTGCGACTGACCATCAGAAATGACGCCGGCGCCCGAGTTGGCACCCGCAGCCGAAGATGAGGTTGTAGGTTGTTGAGCCGACATGTTGGCCACGTCCTCCTGTGTGAGGCCCAGGCTGCGGTTCAGAATGTTGCTAGCGATCCCGGCGCTGAGTGAGGACCATAAACCCGAGACGCTCTGGCCGACCTTAACGCCTATCCCGGTGATTCCCTGGGGCGCCGCACTGCCAAAGATTCCCTTTTTGGTGTATGGAAGTATCTGGGACTTGAGGCTCGACATGGCAGGGGTGATGAGTGGCTCCATGCGGTAGGCGATGGGATCCGAAGGGTGGAAGATATTGAATAGCTGGCCGAGCTTGGGCGAAGAGATGGAGTAGGGCAGCCCTGTGATGGCTGAGACGCGTTGGCCGACATCCGCCGCCAGAAACGGATCGTCTATAGAGTCCGGGTCCAGCGGGCTCTCCGAGGGCAGTGCATGGGGTAGATGTCTTGCCGAGATGGTCCGCCCTTTTAGCATCTGAAAGAGGCCAATGGGCGAGCCCAGACAGTAGAGGTCTTCCACGTCAAAGTCGAACCTGAGCTCCCTCGGATCCTTTGATGGCCTGGGCCGATCTTGTGGCGTCCGGAATCGGAGCGCGTTCCTACCAACGTCCGATGAACTGGGCGTTTCCTTTTGGCGGCAGAGAATGTCGAACATTATTGCGGAACCAAGCGAGTGCCCGATGATGTGAACTTTGCCCGTGAACTTCGGGTTCCGCTCCATGAAGAGATTATAGACACGGTTGGACTCCTGCAGCACGATGTGGGCAATCTGCTCCCGGTATGCGCTTTGGTACAAGAGCACGTCCAGGGCAAGGTCGGAAATGAGCGACCGAACAAAAGCGACCCCCTCGACAGTAATGTCCTCAAGCGAGGGGTCTGTCTATTGTCAGCCACAATCATTAAAACTACCATGGGGTAATAGCATAGTCGCTAGCCACTCACATTCGTCTTCCTCGGTATAAGTCTCGCCCAAATCCTGCTCGCGTTTTTTCTCATTTTTCTTGGGGAAATCAAGGAGATGCCGCCAACACACGGGTAATACCTGGATGCGGCAGTTGCCCGGACCTTCACCACTTTCCGAGTTCAGTGCCTTTAGGTCTGCTGAGCTTGTATAGACCGATTTGAGGGTTTTGCGCAGGATGTTGACATCGTGCACAAAGTTCACACTCTCCATCCTGCGATACTCATGTCAGCGTACGGTTGTTATACGTGTATGGGAACGTGTGGAGATATCCGCATACCTAAGTCCCAAGAGCTGGCCTATGCCGTGTGTTACGAGGAAAACATGGTCGATATCACGCCCTTGTTTCTCACCAACCTGGGGATTGTAGTCAGTTTGCATTTGCTTCTCTTCTCTCTGGCGAACCTCTTCCTCCTCCTGGGCGCGGTCTTTTTCACCGCCGTCCATTAGCGATGAGATCTGGCGCTGCAGTTGGCTCTCTTGGCTTTCTACCCCCAAAGAGGAGGCACCAGCCAATGCCCCCAGTTTTGTGGCTGGAGGTGCCGATCTCCTCTTGAGAAGCTTTTGTTGCTTTTCATCGAGCGTGAGATGCGTCACGGTTCCTGGACCCGGTGTAGATGGCCATTTCTCGTCCTTGGCGTCCTTGGATTCTTTGTCCTTCGCCTTAGTGGGCTCCTTGCTTGGCTCTGAAAATCCACGGACAAGCTTGACTCCGCTCATGTAGCCGCCGCCGGCGAACCGTTCATATACCGTCGACGTGACCCACGACAAGACGCTATCGGACGTCAGCCACGCCACTGAGGCGTCTTGGTAGGTCGCAACACTGTTCATGTATGTTCCAAATAGTCGATGGGTTTGCGGTTGGTGTTGTGCCTGCAGCGGTGCTGGCATCGCTGACGACTTGGAGATGGCCTCCCCCTGCGCAGCCGACGCGGCCCGGAGGTTGTCGGTGGATGGCTTAGGAGTAAGGCTGCTCCCGGTGCCGGAGTCGCTGCGAACTCTTGCGGGGTATAGCCACGGCTTCACTTTCAAGTAGCCTTCCTCGAGTTGTGCCGCCAAGTTTTCCTCGCAAGGCCGAAGAGTCGAGCCTTCCTGGTAGAACCAGGTGCCTCTCCGTACATCGTAGACGGGCCCAAGCCAGTAAACTGGCGACAACTCTCTCTCCTCGAGGTCGACTTGGAACAAGAAGTCCTCCTGAACATATACGACATGATGTTTGGGTTTTTGGGCGTCGCTTCGGCTGAGTCCTCGAGATCTCGGCTCGTCGCTTCCCAGGGTCGATCTCCGATTAGACCTGCTCCTTTGCCTTTCGGCAGTTGTCCCCCGATCTCTCTCAGTATCCTCGAGTATTGTCTGGTATGTTGTCTCAAGGGATTTGGAGTCTTCGGGGGAGAACGCGACAAGTTTCTTGGGCGCGGGTGGTGGCTTGTTTTCGTCGGCGGCGTTCTTCTTGGACTGTAGCAACTTAGGTTTTCGCTTGGGTATCTGTTCCCGAGGGTTAGATTAGAAGCCAAAAATGCGAGAGACAACTCCAATCAACTAACATCGACAGCGTGGAACCACATCACTTTCAGCAGTGGGCAGTCCGGGGGGTATCGCCTCTGACTCTGGCCGTAGACATGGCTGGTGGTATGATAGCCGGGGACAGTGCTGGGACCGCTGGCAGACGGCAACGGCGGCGTGGTGCTCGAGGAGCCAGGTTCTTTGGGAGTCGGCGTGGTGCTACGGCTTCCGGCCCACGGGTTCATGGAGTCCACGGCAGAGGAGAAGTACCCCTTCTCCACCTTCTTGTCCACCGGAGGGGCAGGCGTGGGAGCCATAGCGTTGCTACTCCCAGCTTGCCATACGGCAAGCTTTCCCACAGAGAGAGCCGGCCGGGGTAGATATCGTATGCAAGATGTTGAGAGTCTGGTGGAGAAGGCCGAACGAGAGTGCGATCCAGGAAAACAACTCAAGACTGCCACGTCCGAGGTAGTATTCCCAACAAGGGCGGTCGGTTATTGGTGTTGTTTAAGCTGGTGAACGTCCTTTAGATTTATAAGTTCGCGTCAGTATTTTTCGAAGCTGCAGAGGTTCGCTGGCGACAAGTAGCGTTTTGGTTGGTTCAGGGAGCTCCTTGCGGCGAGTGCAATTTGGGTATGCGAGCAGGATCGAGGAACGAGGTGGACCGAGCCAGGTGTATGACACGCAATAGACAAGGCGTCCAGACTTGGTTGCTTCTGTTCAATTGTCAACAAACGGGGAACGCAGCTTGAAGGCTAGCTCATCCGGCTTGGGCTGTCGCGACAGGAGTACCCATGCATGCGCGACCAACAAAAGAGGTAGAATCCAGGTGACGAAATGGTTGGCTACTACGACCAGCGACAGGATGTCGGTGACACATCGTAAGGCTGCTCCCGTTGATTCCCGCCCATCTGGCCCGTCATCAGCTGCCCCGCCACGCTCGGTCCCCCGGGCGTGCATGGGCTCAGGAGGGTTGGTGCAACTTTAGTGGGGAGCATAACTGCGATTCAACTGGGATAGGCTGGCTACCTAAGGCAAGCTAGGCTGAGCTCATACAGAGTTCCCCGCACCACAGGCGGCCGGCAGGTGGGTGCTTGACTGCCAGCTCGGTACAGTGGTGGGGTCCAAGTGACTCCGCGAGCTCCTCTGCCTGCGCGAGGAAAAAAAAGTTGCGTCGCGTCACCTCGGAACAATCACCAACCGATTGGGTTCTCAACTCGCATTATGCTTTCCACCACTGCTTTTTAATGACGATGGATCGCCGGCGACAATCCAACCTATGACCGAGGAGGACGAACTAGGCCGCCATTGATTGTACTCGCCAGCTACAGCCCGCCGTAGGGCCTGTTACGAACGTCTGCCTCCAGGCCTCAGCCCAACGACTTGCGACAACGGCGATTTTGGCAACTGTGCGAGACCAACAGACTGCGGCCAACATGGCTATCGAGGAGACTGCGCCGGCGCTGCCGGTGAAGGAGCAATTCGTCGACCAGCTGCCAATGCGCTTCAAGGAGCTTAAATTCGGAATCCAGTGCGTCTACCTCGGCGGCCCGAGAGAAGGCGGATAGTGGGCGAGGACGAGAGAGACGGGGCTGGACTAACAGCTTGGAACTGCTGGGCAGATCGAACCAAGATATAGTGAACCAGGGCGTTCTTGAGATTTCCGAAAAACAGCTCTACGACATTGAGAATAATCGAACGCCCTCCCGCCATGGACCCCTCGATCATCGCCTGGTAGGTCGCCAACTGTCTTGTTTTTGGCCTCGCCCACGGCCTAACTTGGGCTAACCTGGCTGTCTTGATAGGGCACATCGAGCAAAACGGCGGAATGCCAAACATGCGCTCAGCCCCTGCAGAACTGCAGTGGTCACTTTGGTCATGTGCGGTTGCCCCTGCCGGCCTTCCATATCGGGTACCTCCGCTTCGTGCAGACGATTCTGCAGAATATCTGCAAGGTTAGTTGCCCGCATATTTCCCCTCCATCCTGGCATCATGCCTTTGCGTTCTGCTCACTGTTCGTCTCTACAGGACTGCGCGCGTGTGCTCCTAACCGAACCTGAACGCCGAAAGTTTTTGACCGAACTGAGGCGGCCCGGGATCGACAACCTCCGCCGCACAGGTATCTGCAAGAAGATCAACGAGCAATGTCGCAAGGTCAAGATATGCCCTTACTGCGATTCGGTCAACGGTACCATCAGAAAGATTGGTGTCCTGAAGCTGGCGCATGACAAGTTCGTGGCCTTCAACAAGTCAAACTCGGCAAAGAAGATTCCGCCTGAGAGCAAGATCGTCTTCGACAATTCTTTCCTCTACGCCAAGAAGGCAGTCCCGGACCTTGAGAAGCACCTGAGGAAGGCTATGGAGGACCTGAACCCCCTCAAAGTCCTCACGCTCTTCAAGATGATCACCCCTACCGATTGCGAACTTCTTGGGTTGGACCCATCTGAAGGCAGACCCGAGATGTTTCTCTGGCAGTATTTGCCTGCCCCGCCCATCTGCATCCGCCCTTCGGTTGCCCAAGACAATGCCAGCAATGAAGACGATATCACGACCAAGCTAGCCGAAATTGTCCACATAGCAGGTCTCATACGTGGTGCTCTTAGTAAGGGTCACACTATACAGACCATCATGGAGCAGTGGGAGTTCCTGCAGCTGCAGATAGCCATGTATGTCAATAGCGAGGTGCCCGGGCTCGGACAGCCTGGATTCGGCAAGATGACTCGTGGTTTCTGCCAACGCCTAAAGGGAAAACAGGGCCGGTTTCGTGGTAACCTGTCGGGCAAGCGAGTAGACTTCTCGGGCCGAACCGTCATCTCCCCTGACCCCAACCTTGGGATTGACCAGGTCGCTATCCCTATCCTGGTAGCCAAGAACCTAACATACCCCGAGCGCGTCCAGTTCCAGAACCTGGCCAAGCTTCAGCAGTGTGTCCGCAATGGTCCGGCAACCTGGCCTGGAGCACAGGCGGTCATCAAGCAAGACGGAGACGGTGACTACAAGATGAACCTCAAGTTTGGCAACCGCGACGATGTTGCTAACAACCTTAGGTTCGGGGACGTGGTCGAGCGGCACATTGAGGACGGCGACATCGTGCTCTTCAACCGGCAGCCGTCGCTCCACAAGCTCAGTATCATGAGCCACTTGGTCAAGGTCCGCCCGTGGAGGACTTTCCGCCTCAACGAGTGTGTCTGCACGCCATACAACGCCGACTTTGACGGCGACGAGATGAATCTCCATGTTCCCCAGACTGAGGAAGCCCGCGCCGAGGCTATCAACCTCATGGGTGTCAAGCACAACCTTGCCACACCCAAGAACGGCGAGCCCATCATTGCTGCTACACAGGACTTCATCACGGCGGCGTATCTCCTCAGCAGCAAAGACAACTTCTTCAGCCGCAAGGTTTTTACATATCTATGCCAGCACATGATGGTGGATGGAAAGGAGTACCTCGAACTCCCTCCGCCAGCCATCCTCAAGCCATGCGCGCTCTGGACTGGCAAGCAAATCTTCAACGTCCTCATGAGACCGAACAAGCAGTCGCCGGTCAAGGTGAATCTGGACGCGAAGTGCCGTGAGTACAAGGTCCGGCCCGGCGAGGCACCAGACTTGTGCCCCAACGACGGCTGGCTCATCATCCGCAACTCCGAGATAATGTGTGGGGTGATGGATAAGTCAATCGTGGGAGGCGGCAAGAAGGACTCTATCTTCTATGTTATTCTTCGAGATTTCGGACCTGACTACGCGGTTACTGCCATGAACCGCCTGGCGAAGCTCTGCGCCCGAACGCTGGGGAATCGCGGCTTTTCCATCGGCGTTGGCGACGTCTTCCCGACGATGGAGCTTCGCGTGGAAAAGGATAAGCTTGTGGCGGATGCGGACCGCAAGTGTGACGACCTGATCGACACATTCAAGGCTGGAAAGCTCCAGAAGGCCGCGGGTTGTGATCTTGAGCAAACGCTGGAGAACTCCATCTCGGGCATTCTGAGTCGAGTGCGTCAGCAGGCCGGTGCCAAGTGTGTTGAGACGCTGAGCCGCAACAATGCTCCTCTGATCATGGCCAAGTCTGGGTCCAAGGGGTCCGAAATCAACGTTGCCCAGATGGTTGCAGCCGTCGGACAGCAGATTATTGGAGGCCAGCGTGTCCCAGATGGTTTCCAGGACCGAAGTTTGCCGCACTTCCACAAGAATTCTCGCCAGCCCCCCTCCAAGGGCTTCGTGGCCAACAGTTTCTATTCTGGTCTCCTTCCCACCGAGTTCCTGTTCCACGCCATTTCGGGACGTGAAGGTCTCGTCGACACGGCTGTCAAGACGGCCGAGACAGGCTACATGTCGCGGCGTTTGATGAAGTCGCTCGAGGACCTCTCGACCCAGTACGACGACACGGTCCGCACTTCAGGCGGAGGCATCGTCCAGTTCCAGTTCGGCGCCGACAAGCTGGACCCTGTCGACATGGAGGGAACTGCGGTGCCTGTGCATTTCGACCGGACATGGACCCACTCAGAAGCCTTGACCTGGGACAACGCTGAGAGGTCACTTCTGCCCTGGGAGATCTTGCAGTTATGCGACCAAGTGATCGAAACACAGCGGCAGCGGTACGGCCGGTATGACCTTGTCAACAAGAGCCCATTACCCTACGATGACCAGAGGGATCGCAGCATCGACGAGCACGAGAGCGCGCGGAACTTCTGGAAAAGTGTCTATGGCTACATACAGGGCCGCGCAGACAGGCTGGAGGCGATCCGAAGGCAGATCGGCCTGTCTCCCGGAGGTAGCGATGACAGAGGTGCAGACGACTCGATCGCGGATCCAGCAAGGGTCGCGCAGGTCAACCGGGTTGCCAAGGTGTCACAGACCACGCTCCTCAAGTTTCTCAACCTCTGTCAGGAGAAACACGAGAGGGCAAAGGTCGAGCCGGGTCACGCCGTGGGTGCTGTCGGCGCGCAGTCCATCGGTGAGCCCGGCACGCAGATGACGCTGAAGACTTTCCATTTCGCCGGTGTCGCCGGTATGAGTATCACGCAAGGTGTGCCTCGTATCAAGGAGATCATCAACGCCTCCAAGTCGATCAGCACTCCAGTTATCACCTGCCCGTTGATGAACAACAAGCAGATCGAAGCCGCCCGCGTGGTCAAGGGAAGGATCGAAAAGACATACATTTCCGACGTCCTCCGATTCATTGAGGACGAATGGAAGGCCGATGCCGGCTCCGTGGTGCTCCAGTTCGACATGGCCGTGCTGCAAGACATGCATCTTGGCATTGGCATGGCGGACATAGCCGAGTCGATCTGCAAGCACAAGAAGCTCAAGCTCGAGCCTGACGATCTCAGGCTCGGCAGCAGCAGTATAGAGATTGTCGTGAGAAATACCTGGGTGGACGTGGCGGCTGCCAAGAAGGCGGCGAGGAGCCGCAGCGCCGCCATGGAGGAGAGTCCAGACCTACTGCTTCGTGTTAACCATCTCCGTCGCATGCTCCCAACGGTTCCCATTTCTGGGTACCCAGAGGCGTCCCGAGCCATCATCCAAACGTCAGAGAAAAGCGAGCACACGGTGCTGGTAGAGGGCTACGGTCTGCGCGCCTGCATGACGACCGAGGGTGTCATTGGCACCAAGACCAAGTCGAACAACGTCATGGAGAACCGCGATGTTTTGGGAATCGAGGCGGCGCGGACCACTATCGCGACTGAAATAGAGGCCGTCATGGGAGACATGGGCATCGACCCGCGGCACATGCAGCTGCTCGCCGACGTCATGACGTACAAGGGCGACGTTCTGGGCATCACGCGATTCGGGCTTTCCAAGATGCGCGACAGCGTGCTACAGCTGGCGTCGTTTGAGAAGACGCCCGATCATCTGTTCGCCGCAGCCGCCGGCATGAAGACGGACCGCATCGAGGGCGTCAGCGAGTGCATCATCATGGGCCAGACCATGTCGGTCGGTACCGGCGCCTGCCAGATCGTGCGCGCTCTCAACCTGAGACCTGACGACTGCCGCCCTCGCCCCACCCCGTTCGAGGATGCGTGGAATGAGAGCATCACAGGCCGCAAGATTAAGCGCTGATATAGGGCTGGGGCGAGCATTGACTCGGGTAACCTCTTTTTGTGGATGCGGTGGTGGCAAGGGTCTCAGCTGGAGGAGGATATAGACTTTGATTTGGGCCTTTCTGTTCACGGAAGCTTTTGTCACGGGAGACAGGTCAATACGAGGATGGGGATACGATGATTCGAGCGCTAATATCTGCGCAAGTAGAATCCATGCTTTTTTTTGAGGCTGATCAAAAGTCGTCGACATAGCCTTTTTTTCTCTAAAATCATGTTCTGTGCCAGTGTCTCGCGGGCCCCAGGAACGCTCGAGTTTCATCATGGCTATCATGCCCTATTTTGTGGGAAAGAATTTGGTGATCTTCTGCGTCCCGGCGGATGCTTTCTGCTTGGATTTGTTTGGGCTCTTGGCGGGATTCTTTGTCGCACTGATGGTCCGGCTTGGCGCTGGGGCGGGCTTCTTCTTCAACGGCAGCTGCTGTTCACTGTTAATGGGGCCCAGCTCGGCCGGGCGCTTGGGAGCTGACGGTTCGGCTACGCCCACTCCCGAAGGCTTCGTATCCCTGGATCGAGCCCCCTGATCCGCCGGCGACGCACCGCCGCAGCCCTGCTCCGGCTCCGGCTGCGGCTGCGGTTGCGGTTGCGGTTGCGGTTGCGGCAGTTGCCTCTTCTCCTTGGCAGGGGAGGAGGACGCGGAGGCGAAGAAGTTTGCAATGTTGGACTTGTTCTCCCTACTCGCTATTGGGACGATGAAGGAAGGCGAGCTGCGGCCGGCCTTGTTGACGTCCTTGCTCACGGCGTAGACGTCGAGCTCGCCGCCGAAGGGGCGCAGGAGGGCCTGCAGCTCGCCGGACCACTCGGAGCGGCCCGGGTCCAGCCACGCGCGCAGCCCGTCGGAGCCGGGCTCCAGCACGACGGGCATGCGGTCGTGCAGGAACTTGAGCTGCGCGTTGGAGTCGGTCGTGACGATGGTGTAGGTGTAGGTCTTGTTCTCGTCGCCTGTTTGTCGGGGCGCGGGGAGAGAGATCATGTCAGTTCAGAAGGGGTTGGTTGAGTGTCTGCTCGATAAGACAAGGCTCTCCGTGGAGAATGGTATTCACCCTCGTACTGCACACAGTCCCAGAGCCCGGCCATGCAGAGCAGCTTGCCGTCCTTTCTCCTGATGTAGTACGGCATCCTCTCCTTGCCGACCTTGAGCCACTCGTAGAAGCCTTGGGCGAGGACTATGCATCGCTTCCGTGCCTTCATTGAACTCCTGATTTATGTTCCCGACATTAGAGTTGTTTTTGAAATACCAAAATTGCCCTTTCGACCCTTTTTCTAGAGTAGCAAGATGGAGAGGGAGAGAAAGCGGCGTGACGCACCACATGCCACCACCAGCAGCCAGCGAGTCGTCGCGGCAGTTGATGGTCTTCATGACGGCCGCGTAGTCGGGGTTCCGCCCGGTCCAGGAAGGGATGAGACCCCATTTCATGGCCTGGAGCTTGTAGCGGACCTCGCCGCCGCTGTCATTATCGTCCCCTCCGGGTTCTTTGCGCGCTTTGCCTTGCGGCTGTTTTTTGCTCCCCTCTTCGCCGTGCCCGCGGCGGGGACCGGCGCCGAAGTCGGGCACGTCGGCTCTGTAGACTACGCCGTTGTAGCCCGGGGCAAAATTGTAGGATTGGCGCGGCTGCTGCCGCTGTGAAGAGGCGGCGTCTTCATCCCCTGCGCCGCCATCGTCGCCATCTTGGCCATCTCCTCCGCCGTCTGGATCATCTAGGGCATCCCAGACCGGCATGTCGTTGTCCCACAACATCTGCCGGATCTGGTCTGGCCGCTGTGCGTTGGGTATGTACAACATCAGTACAGAGAGTGAAGGGATGGTCAAGACGGAGGCCATCTGGTACTTACCAAGACCATTGCATATCTCCCGCACATGTTTTTGAGCTTCTCTCTAGCTTTTTTTGCATCCGGAATACTGCAGGTCGATTTGGGGAAGTCGTCGCTAACCAGCCGAGCTCGATGCGTGTTTGCCATGACGTATGAGCCGTTTGAGGGCGTGCGGCTGACCACGTGCTGACCACGAGCCACTCGCGCTGTCACATGACGGCAATCTAGGGGGCAGCACTGTGAGACAACCCCTGTACCTCAAGGGCCTCCAGCGGGCTTCAGAGATTCATGTAGTTTAATTGCTTGTTATTGTGCGATGCCCTAGTATTGATCGCAATCATGGCGGAATATTTACATTTGGATACTACAAAGGCACTCCTGATGGATCCGGTCCCCTTGTCAGACCCCTGCCGCTGCTTCTTATTCGCGACGGCCAGCCCATCCCTCCACCCTCGCTCAAGACGTGAAGCGCTTCTCGACGCATCTCTTCCTGCCATGGAGCCTCAGGATCCGGCCGGCGGCGTGCTCGGCCGCCGTCACGATCATGGCGGACGGGTTGCCCGTGACCATGCCGGGAAAGATGGACGCGTCGACGACAAAGAGGTTGTCGGTGCCGTAGACCTTTGTGTTGAGGTCCACCACCGCCGACCCGCCCTTGCGGCCGTCGTCGGTGCCCAGTTTGGCGGTGCCTATATGTATCAGCCGGCGGCCCTCTGGTTAGCTCGGATGATGTCACACGCCACAAAGACAAGGCCGAAGGAGCGGAAGCCAATTTCCAAAACTCACCCATCCAGTGGTTGGCGCGGCGCTGCGCCGGCGTGGTCAGCAGCGAGTCGACATACTCCTGGCTCGTCTGGCCGTCGGCCGGCACGTGCCAGGTCAGGCCCGGGACGACGCCGAGCGTCTTGCGGATGCTGTCCATGGCCATGACGACGGCGGCCTTGTCGTGCTCGTCGCGCAGGTACGGCGGCGTCGCGACGCGCGTGTTGAGCTGCGGCGTGATGGACATGCGCCCGCGCGACGTCGAGCCGCGGCCGAGGTACATGCTCAGCGTCATGGACGTGTTCGTGGTGCCCTCGACGCGCGCCGTCCACTGCAGCTGCCGCACGACCCCGTCCGCGCCCCGGACCTCCTCCCAGAACATGGGGCCGATGTTGGGCGCGGCCTGCGCCAGGATCCCGGACCGGTTGCGCAGGTACTTCTCCTCGTCGGTCGCGTTGGGCGTCTTCCACGCCTCGTAGAAGTCGTAGAAGACCACGGACGGGTGGTCCACGATGGCGTCCGTGTTGACGTGATCTACCAGGTTGTACCCCACGGGCAGGTTGATCCACTCCTTCTTGTCGATCATGGAGTCGCCATCGGTGGCCGAGCCCTTGACAGTCGCGAGGGCATCCGCCGGCCCGATGCCGCTGCGGAACAGGACCTTCGCCGTCCCGAAGACGCCGGCCGATAGAATCACAGAGCCCTTGTCACTCAGCTTCACCACGCCCTCGTAGCCATGACCTGTCGCCGGGTTGCCCTCGATCTCGACGGCCGACACGTGGCCGCCCTTGCGCACCACCCGCCTCACCGCCGTGTCCGTGATCAGCCGGAAGCCCTTGCGCTGGCTGGCGGTGCGCAGGTAGGTCGCCAACGGCCCGGCACGCTCGCCGCCCGAGAACATGAAGACCGTGTGGCCGTAAGTGTGATTCTTGCGGTGCGGCATAGTGTTGGGGTTCTCTATGCGCTCCCAGCCCGAGGCTTTAAACCCGCTCGCGAGCACGTCGAAGCCTTGGTCCAGGTACAGCTTGCCGTCCATCGATGGCACGATTGTGCCAGGGATGCGTGAGAAGACTCGGTTCTCATCCGCGCGCATATCTACCGACTTCCAGCCTGCTGGGAAGTTGACGTCCCAGTCAAGGGGGTTGGACTACAGGCGAGAACATTAGCATTGGTGATTCCCAGGGGTGTGTGACAGCATCACAAACGAACCTTCCACCAAAGGCCGGCATTGACGGCAACGCCTCCACCGAGAACGCATCCCGCCATCTGGTCCATGTCGGTGCAAGCAACACCAGCCGCGTCGACCCAGATCTGGTTGCAAAGGCCGGGGACATCGAAACGTGTTAGTCCGGAGCCCTTCAACCATTCGGGAGCCATCGCGCCACCCCAATGTCCCGAAGACGGCGGCCCCTTTTCGACAAGCAGCACTCTATGCCCGGCCTCGCTGAGCTTGTCGGCAACGGTGATGCCGCCGGCACCGGCACCAACGACGACGTAGTCGAACGTCCCGGTTGGAGCTGGCGTGTACGAGGCAACAGGGACCGTTGTAGTGCTCGTAGCAGTGGAAGTTGTCATGGTCGTGCCAGGGGTGGTGGTGGTCGAAGTGGTAGAGGACCCGCCACAATTTCCGTCCACCGTCTTTGTGGCTAGCGCGGCCCAAGAGCTATACGACGGGTTGGCGACGCCTTCCAGCGAGGCACCGTACTGGCCGAAGCCAGTGTCGTGGAAGCCAAAGGTGATCCGGTTCGGACAGGCGGCGTTTCCAGGCGTCTGGCTACTTGAAGCCCGACCAAGCACCAGGAAGCCCTCACTCGTAGACGCTTTTCCCGTATCGCCGCCCTCGTTCCAGGCCAGGCAGTCGGTGCACCTGTACGCAACCTCAAAGTAGGTGTCGGTGATCTTGGACGATATCTGGGTCAACTTTGCGTTTCCGGTGTAGACGTCGGGCATGCTGTAGCCCGTTGCGAAGCGGAACGAAGTCAGGACCTCGCCGCCGTGTGGCCAAGCCATCAACAGCAGGGCACCGATCATCTGCCCAGACTGGCCGTGGGACACGCCGCACCATCCAGTCTCCGCGGCGCTTGTCCTGGCGCATCTCTGAGGATCAAAGCTGGCTGATTAGCTGTGCCCCCTTGTCAATTCGGCAAATATGCACGCCCGGCACACATACTAGCAGGCCAATGTACTCGGTCGCGTCTGTGGTCAGAGCATTCTCCGGGAGGGCCATGCCAAACGTGAAGGCGGCCTGATTTGGCGACTGCTGGGCAGCCCAGGTGCCGAACCTGACGCCGGACTCGTGCGTCGTGAACGTGGGCGCCTGGGCCAGACACGGCCACGCGACTGTCGAGAGGGCTCTGTCAGCTTGGCTTCATCATTTTCACCAAGGCAACGGGAAGGAGGCGGAGCGAGGCTGAAGTGGTCGGCTTACGAAGCGCGGCCGCGGCCGCGGCAGAGGCAACACGACGACGTAACTGCATGTCTGCCTTCGGATGTCGCGGGTCAAATGCTGCGAGCAATGGGGCAGACAACGATGGCGACAAGAGGGAGTAGGTGTGCAAAGGGGGCAGGGACAGAGCCGGGTTTTCGGTGAGGGGGAGGGAGACTGACCAAGTAATATACCATCTCGACAACCGCAGCCAGGCCTACGGCGCACGCATCATCAACACCAACCGCCCACCTACGGCCTCGCTCCGACGGCCACCTGGGATGCGAGACGGATTCTTCCTCGCTTCCTCGCTTCCTCACGCCACATCTCTACCCATCTCCGTCGCAATGTGGGCCGGAGGTTGAAAGGGACGGAGATCTGGGGATGGCTTCCCGAGTCCCGAAGTGGAAAGATAAAGGCCAGAGGAGCAACCGCCCGGTATCTGTGGGTGAAATGGACGGGCGAACCCAGGAACAGCCGCAGGGCGCCTAGATTAATGCGCGTGTGTCTTCGGTCGTCCCCTTGCTGAGTGCGACATTAGGCTGCAAAGGCTCCAATATCGACAAAGCACTGATCCATAACGTCGATCCACCGCCCTCCACGGGGCACACAGATCGACAGACCCCGGCTTGTTCTTCTTATTCTGCTGTGCCTCCTTCGTGGCCCTCCCTCACACGTACTCTCCTGCTGCTTTGCCTTGCCTCTCGGGCACTCCTTGTTTATTGCGTGCGGCCTGTGGCGAGTTGCATACTCAATCAAGACTGCAGGCCTCGTCCGACGGGCCAAGAGCTGGACCCCGACGCAAAGTCGTTGGCAAGAACCAACCTCGGTCCCCCCCCCCCCCCTTTGACAGCGAAGAACCAAGCGAACTCGACGATGCAACTGCGGAGAATATATCCAGCGGGGAACCGGTTGGCGGCGGCATTCGGATAGATTGAGTATGACGGGCAGCCAGAGATTCCTGGGTCTACGACGACCATTCCCCATCACATGAACCTATTGCCTCTACCCCAGCCATAATGGTAGCTGGACTTCGGTTTTTTGATTGTCCCACCAGAGGTCAGACTGGCACTCATCTCCGGCAAACCGGACTGCTCTTCTAGAGGGATGCCTGGGCGTCGATGTGTGACGTTGCTGGTCGTCTGTTGAGACTTGGGTCATCCATGCCAACCCAACCCAGTCCTTCTGCCCGCAAGCATTACCACTCCCACTCGGTTGGATCCAAGTGCGGGACCATGCGCGGCGACGACCCGTGGAGCCGAAGAGCCTCCAGCGAGACCCCAGGTCGGCTGGGGGGCAGCCATTCCTGCAGGTACTGGGTACAGGCCTTGAGGAATCTTGGCCCAAGGGGGGCACCTGGCAGCACTCGATCTGGAACGCGCCTAACTCTCAACGGCAAGATCTCGACCACCTTCCATCCTCCGCCTTCTCTCCGGGCACCCCACGCGCCCACGGCTCGATCGAGTGATGGGGCGGATAGCAGCCGGACGGCGGCACAGACGGCATTGCAAAGGGCGGCCAGGCTGTAGGCAGGCAAGGAGGTTGCATCTGCCGATGTGTGCGGATCGTCGGCGGCAAAAAGGCTTGGCCAAGGCAAGCTGCTTAGGACAAGCGGCAGCAGGCAAGAGAAAGAAAGACGAGTAAGCCGTGGTTAATCTGAGCACTACTCTGGATAAATCAATAGAGTATTCGATGGATGGGTAATGGGTCCGCCGTTGGCGTTTCTAGTTGAACGCCGTAAAGCCGTCAGCCATAGGCCTGTAGGTAGGCGGGTAGTCATCATAGGTATGTTCGAGTTATTGCACTTTTGGATACCGCTACCGCCTGATGTTCCGACTTTCCGAAGGCGTCGGTCGGCAGCCTCAGAGCAGAGATGATTGGGCCTTTTGGTCCTGCTCTCTTGGCTGCCATTCTTGGCCACATCTACCGAGCCGACATGGCCTGTAGCATCGGCTTCGCCATAAGATAAACCTTCGCTCTTCTCCACTCTGTCTTGTGGTTTGGTTGTTGTCTGTTCTCCACAGCGAGCCCAGCTGCAGTATCTCGAACGACAGCGTCAGTGGAGTCAGGCAAATCTTGCCGCCTATCCGCTGGGAGTCTCAGGGGTTCAGGGTTCAGTCGGCTGAGAGTTCTCTTACCAATCATCTGGTCAGGAAAGCGATCGAAATCCGAAATGCTGCCGGGAACTCTTACAGTGACATCGGGGCTAGTCTGCAATGTCTGATCTGGTATTGCAGCCTCCCGGATGTCGGACTGCAACTAGGTAGCCACCTAGTCCGAACGACCATGAGACCTGTACCCGCTTGTAAAAGCAGGAAATCGGCGGTATACCAGCCACCTTACCTTGTTGTGTTTTTAGGTAGGTGCTCAATCGCCCGACTATCGATGTGGCTGGCCCTGGAAAAAGAAAATGTGGCGACGGAGCCTCACCTTCCGCCTCCCCTGGAGAGTCCACCGCCGAGGACACCTCAACGGGTATTGGCACTCTACCCTCGGATGGACACCAGCACTAGATCTGCCGCGGCCACGGGCCGTGCTACCTACCAGAACTGTGACAGGTGGAAAGGAAGGAAAAATCCTTGCGCCCAGTCTGCCCACGAACCGCGCGCCCATCAGAGCGTCCAGGATTTGCATTTCTTTGCCCATCTTTGGCCTCGAGCTATCATCTGTCCGCTTTGTTTCTGTGCTTCGTCCAAGTCGGTGGTACTCCCCGTGGCTCTCGAATGCCTAACCAACAGCCCCCGGGCTGCTCCACTACCAACCATACCATGCATCTCGAGATGCAGCAGCGGGCCGAACACTCCATCGCGCGTCCCCCATGGCTCTGACTGAGTCCCCTGGCAGACGAGACCGAGACCATGGGCGTAGCGCGTGGGGGGGACTCGGTGCTCTCCAAGGCCATCCCCCTTTTAGCGATGCGAGTCTCCATCTCAGCAGGGACTACAGAGCAGCTCCCAACTTCAGGATCGTCGGGCAAGGAGCATAGATATAGAAACTGGCCGAGAGGAGAATTCCCGCTGCTGGAGCCTCACGCTGCGGCAGGAAAAAGAACACCAAATGAGACAATTCACCGCCGCATCGTCGCTGCAGCTAAGAGGCCGAACCGGTGGCTCGTAGGACCGCGTCTCCTGGTGCGCAGCCGACTCGAGACGGGCCAATGAAGGGAGGTTGGACTTGCCCCAGCTTCCACCATCTGTACATGATGCCGGGGAGCTGGGCTGTCGAGCTTTGAGGGGTGCGCCTTCCGATGCGGGATATTGAGTGGCAGATGCAGGGCTTGCCTCGTTTGGGAAGGCGCCGGGACACCTCGCGCGGCAGACGATTTAGACGAGGTGAGCCGTGCTTGCCTGACCTGCCTTGACTGCCTTGACTGCCGTGCAGATTCATGCCTGGGCGTAGCTTCCGTGATTTCTGTTGCCACCACGCCAAGCGCTAGGACGAGCAGCAGTCTTCCACGATATCAGCTCCCGCATAGGTTGGCATAAATGGCTTGAAGACCTGCTACCTAGCCCGATTATGCGACCTGAAATCCAAAAGCAGCCGCGACGAGCAGTCGCTCGAGGAGACTCCATGGTGACACCTACCTCCTCCGCTATTCGGAACCCACGGAATGACGAAAAGGGACACGCGCATCACTTAAATTAAATCACGGCCCCTTCGCCTCTCTCTGCCGGCTGCGTTCCCCACACACAGCCACCAAGACGCGTGACGTGACCTGCCTTTAGTCCTGCTCTGGGGGGACTGCATGTAATACCCCGTCCTCTGTATACCCCCTTGGCTTTCTCTATGACGGAAGATCTCTAAACCAGCCAGTCCTGAGAGACTGAACAGCATGGAATACCTTGGCCGAAGATGCTGGATGCCAGCAGCGGCTCAAGCGGGTGCCCAACGCCTCCATGCATCCTCCATCATGTCTAATCCACCCCTACCTGACTTGGCCTCGACCACTCGGAGCAAGCGCCCAGGCAGGCCATCTGCCTTCACACCCATTCCAGTATCGCCCAGCACACATCCCGACTTTGAACTGGACATAGCAGTCTTCGCAATGTCTTGGTCTGCGGAAGCCTCGGCCCGTTTGTAGGGGCGAACATGTCCCACTCATCCCTCCGAGATGGCGGTACTTCGGGAGCCATGCGAGCCGTTTGCGAGCTCTTGGGTGTCAATCGTAGACAAACGATTGCACCCTCGCGTCCCCAGTGGGGGCTTTCTTGACGTAGCAGCGAGGAAGATGGATAGCCCGAATCGGGGCGTCTGGCCCCGGGTTTGTTCTCCGCCAGCTGCCCTCCTTTTCCATATAAACATACCTGAGAGGACCATCATTCTGCCCTCAGCCGACTCCTCACCCGCATCCGCCTCCTCACTCCATCGCCAAGCTCCACAAGCTCGCAAACAAGACTCTACCACCCAGCCGGAGACCCCCACCTCCCCGCAACCATGAAGGGCTTCTTCTCCCTTGCGGCGGTCCTGTCGCTGGCCGTCGGCGACGTCTCGGCCCACTACATCTTCCAGCAGTTCACCGCCGGCGGCACCAAGTTCCCCACCTACCAGCACATCCGGAAGAACACCAACTACAACTCACCCGTGACGTCGCTGAGCTCCCCAGACCTGAGGTGCAACGAGGGCGGCCTCAACGGCGGCTCCACCAGCATCGTCGACATCAAGGCCGGCGACTCGTTCACCTTTAGCCTCGATACTGTAAGGCGCTGCGGCTGCTAGAAACTGCTGCAGGGCCTCTATTGACCATGAACAATAACAGCCCGTCTACCACCAAGGCCCGATCTCGGTGTAAGTTGACCCCTTTCCAGGTTTTTTGCCACCAGATCAAGAAACTGACTTTCAACTCCCCATCTCACAGCTACATGTCCAAGGCTCCTGGAAGCGTGTCCTCGTACCAGGGAGACGGTGACTGGTTCAAGACCCAGGATTGGGGTGCGTCTCGGTTCCCCAAGCTCACCCGCGTGATCTACTAGCAGCTGCTGACCTTGACCTTTCGCTGTGCTGAGAACAGGCCCGACCTTCAACGGCGGCCAGTCCTCGTGGCCCATGACGGGCTCCTACACGAGCACGATCCCGCGCTGCATCCCCAACGGCGAATACCTGCTGCGTATCCAGTCGCTGGCCATCCACAACCCCGGCGGCGTGCCCCAGGTGAGGAAGGGCCATGCTTTCCCTCTTAAATCCATGACACATGTGCTTGGTTTAAAAAGGCTAATCGCCTCCCCGCTCGCTTGACAGTTCTACATCTCTTGCGCCCAAATCCGCGTCTCGGGTGGAGGCAGCAAGGCGGCGACCAACACTGTCAAGATCCCGGGCTTCATCAAGGGTAACGAGCCGGGTTACACTGCCAACGTGAGAGCCATCCCTTGGTCACTCCGGCCTTTTCGCTTGCCTTGCTCACTTTGCTCACATCGCCCACACTCGTGTAGATCTACAACAACTTCAAATCCTACACCATCCCGGGCCCCAGCGTCTTTACTTGTTAGAGAACCAACAGAAGTTATCGCAGGTGTGCTGTGGGAGTATGAGTTGAACAGGCGACTGGATTCACGGGAGGAATCTGTTGCCCATGGTTCTTGGAGACAGTTTTCAAGATTTGGAGACGAGAAAACAATTGATAGAATGCCTATGTCAAGTACCTATATAGCTGCTATTTATCTATGCCGATATGCGAACAAATAACGCGCGCGTCTACGGTATCCAAAAACAATGCGACTGTAAATGAGAAGGCAGAAGTATATCCCTGAAAAGAAGGCAGAAAAAAAAAAGATTGGCACTCCCGCCAAAGCCACCCAACATCGAGGCGGAAATCATGGTATCATCAGAACGTCTGTTGCCCAATCCACACAGTACGTCATCGTTGACCGGCCCAATTCTTAAAAAAGAAGATGAAACAAAGACAACAGGAAACCAAAAATGACGCTCATAAAAGAGAAAAACAACGTGGGCAAGAGGAGTATAGCCCTGCGACCATCGAACAACTATGTGCAATCTGCGTCTAGAAAGTATCGAGGTGGACGCGGAGAGATGAGGCGGAGCTGAGAGGGGCCTGTGCGGAAAAGAAAAAAAAAAAAAAAGACGGCAAGGACAGCTTGGGATGTCGTGTCTCGTTATTTCTTGCCGCTGCCGCGCTTGTTGAGCTGCTTCAGGAGCAGGTCCCCGGCAACGCCAGCCAGGGGCGCCGCGAAGGCGCCGTAGCCACCGCCCTTGCCGCCGCCCGACGACTTTGGTCGGTCGCCGTCGCGACCGCTCTTGCCACCGCCGCCGCCCTTGCCACCCCTGTTGCTGACGGCAGACATGAAGCCAGCGCCGAGAGCGGTGGTGGCGACCTTTCCGGCCTTGGCGCCGTTCCAGCCGCCCTTCTCCTTGGCGGCTGCGGCAGCCCCGGCCTCGAACACGGCCATGCCGACCTTCTGCCACGGCAGACTCTTGAGGGCCGACGCTATGTCCTTGGTCGTCTTGCTCCGGTTCAGGCCGGGCCTGGCACCTGCCGCGGCGCCGGCGACTGCTGCCGCCACTCCCGATGACCTATTGCCCGTCGTGTTGGACCTGTGCAGGCCGCCACCGCCGCCGCCGCCACCGCCGCCGCCGCCCCTGCCGCCGGCCGGCGGGGGGTAGTATCTGTCGCGGTCGCGGGGCCTGTCCAAGTCGCGGTAGCTGTCGCGGGGCCGGTCCCTCTCCGCATACCTGGGGCGCTCGGGCTCGCTGCGGTAGCGGTCCCGGTCCCGGTCGCGAGGGCGGTCGTCATGACGGGGCCTGTCGTCGTGGCGAGGCCTGTCATCATATCGTGGCCTGTCGTCGTAACGCGGCCTATCGTCGTAGCGCGGCCTATCGTCGTAGCGCGGCCTATCGTCATATCTAGGGCGTGCACCACCGTCAAATGAGGATCGACGAGGTGCCGAGTACGGAGGCTCGCGGCCCCTGCCGCCGTAGCCGCCGCCGTGGCCGCCGCGGGGCACCTCCGAGTACCTCGGAGGTGAGTGGTCGTAATACGCCATTGTGTTTTGGGTGTGGTTCGTGTGCTTGTCGGTGAGGTAGGCCGATTTGGTTTGGTTTGAAGGTGAGGTAAGATAAGAGTAGGCAGGCGGTCTGCCGGCCTAAGTAGTAGAGTTGAGAGTATGGCGGTGTCGACAGCTAAGGACACACAAAGACGCCTTGATTGTTGGAAGGCCAGCCCAGTAGCTTTAAATAGCTCGTGGCTGCGCGTTTTTTTATTCCTTTCTCTGACCTTTCTTTCGCCTCTTGTTGCTTTTTTTTTATCCTCACTGCAGGGACCGATGAGGCGTCGATTTGGGTAATGTGGTAGGCAGACTGAGGCCTTAAAGCGACCAGTCCGAAGTGCTGGCTTGGTTTGCCCCAGGCAAATCGGCCGATCTGGTACCGAGGTATCAATGGAGGTTGTGGGCGCGAGGGTGTGAGGCCGAGGCGGAGGATTGGCCCACCGCGACTGCAGAATTATATAGGGCGTGGGGAGCAGGAGATCAAGAAGCCAGGACCGGGAGATACCGGATAGGTGGCGTGGGAGGGCGGTTTCTTTTTAACCTCTTGAGAATTTCGCAAGCGCTGTGGCACCGTGTCAGGCCTAGCCGATCACTGGGCCGCTGCAGGCGCCAGGTCTGGGCGCGTGGGAGGATGACAAAAGCGGCAACAAAAATTGAGAAAGCAAAGAATAGTAAATGCGACAGAAACAGGCCACTGGGCGGCGGAGGCCTGGGCTGGGCATGCGTCGCAAATGCATCGGATCCCGACGCCTCGTACACTTTCCCAAACACTTTAGATAAAAGGCAAGTCGCGAGTGACTGTGACTGCGCACGCCCAGCACAGGGCTCTGCCGCCAGACCTGTGCCGGGGTCAGCCGGCGGGTGTGGCACACAGGTGTTGTTGGTGGGTAGCACGAGAGCGATTGAATGACTGGAGGCACAGCCCACACGGGCACACAACGGGGAGGGCGCAGGGCCTTCCTTCCTTCCCCAAATTACCTCCTAGGTTGCGAGTGCTCCATCTCTGCGCTGCAACTTCCATGTTCGCCACACCGCCATCTTCAGTGGGGACCGTGGGACTGTTGACGGCCTCCCCGCCGCCATCGCCGCCCTGCCCAGTCGTGTCGCCTCCATTCTGCCCAATCCCCAGAGCGCGGCCCAGGCCGGCCCACCGAACACGGGCCAACCGGGACTGGTTATTTTATCGGGGCATGATCTCATCAGCCGATCCGGGCTCCCTCCTTTCCTCTTGACTCTGGTCTTGCACCTGAGCGACCAGCGCCTAGCCCGGAACCGCACGAGTACAAGACAGGTCTGACTGACGGAGGAGGTGCAGCTCAGAGTATTGGGAGCCAGGAAGAGAGGTCGAGCTAGGTAATTCAGTCGGGTGCATCCGGAACCACAGCTCCCCAGGTTTTTGCTTTTTCCTGCCAGGATGGCCCCAACATATGCCTCAGGACTGCAGCATGATATAGGGCTGCGACCCACAGACCGACAGACCGACAGATAACCTGCAGGCGGAAATAAGGGCAGAAGGCAATGCATAGTTCGTCCGGCCTTGGCTGTCGTTCGAAACGATCCGTAGGAGTGAACCTCCCCGTCGGGATACTTCTCTGGCCGATCCCAGACCAGGGCGGGTGTCGAAGGTGTTCCAGACCCTGGTGAAGCCGAGTTTGCTTCTTGCGACACTTGAATAAAAGCGACAACTCGTGAGGCACTGAGATCCGGTACCTCGAGCGACTTCTCCAGCAGGCTGCCGGGTGGTCTCCCTCACGCCACACCAGACCTCGGCGATGGGCCGCCAACATCACATGGAGGGAAGCAGACCGGGCCATGAGAAATGAATCAGCCAACGAGCTCTCACCACCAGCTGCGCGAGGAGAGGGGCTTACTATCCATCCATGCTGATGCCTCGCCCAGCTGACACCATTGCCCTCCCGCATGTTGCCGAGGCGCTAGGCTCGTCGCATGTGCCGTCTGGGCATAGGTAGGTAGCATGTTCCCACCGGCGGCCAGCCAGCCCCGGCACTCGCGCGCACACCGCCCATCCGGACACAGCCACCCTTCTTCAGTGGCCTCTTCGAGCAATCGGCATGCCGCGCCCGGGAGGGGAGCTGGGCGACGGCCGAGCTCGACTCGGACCCCGTCGGCCGCAAGAAATATAGCGCATGATTCAGGCAGACAGCCGCTTTTGCCCGTTGCTTTCCAAAATGCGACGTGCTACGAGCAGTCTCGAACTTGGCCGTTACATCAGACGCTACGCAACGGCACATCTGCTGCTGCTGCTATCCATCATCCATGTCCCAATTATGTCACGCGTAACCACATATGCGGCCTGGTCTGTGTGGCTAGGTATTCCCGCTTACTATGCTGACCTGGCGTCTGGTTGATAGGATGGCTCGAATGTGGACAGGCTTGTTGGTATGAATGCAGCCACCCGATGTCATCGACGAGCTGTTGGCGAGCAGATGCTGTGCTATAGGGTCAGGTTCTAATCAATTCCGTTGCCGCCGCAGAGTTGAATCCTTGTGGCGTGGAACCGTGGCTATGGTTGGTGGTAGGTTGCACTTGGGAAATGAAAAAAGAAACACAGATTCATAAGCCTCTGTAATGCCACCATGGCGAGGCTCAAACTTGCGCCGCGCGCCTACCGAGGGTGTGTACGAAATAAGATCATGACGGCGGCAGTGCTTGTGCTGTTGGGCTATGTGGAAGGCCTTTTCAGCCGTTGGGGAATATGGCGCGGCTAGGACCGTAGTCGAGACCCGAATGCGCAAGATCAATCGCAATTGATGTCCGACTGCCATTGAGGCGCCTCGCTCGTTGAAGTCCAATTGACGCCCAATCATCCATTTGAGCGGCGCCTGTCACGTGAGAGGGTACCCAAGCCTTTTGTCTCCATTTTCTTGTGTTCCATCCCGGACACAGGTTCAGCGGGCGAGGCGGAGGAAGAGGGCTGAACTGGTCAAAGTAAAATATTAGAGTCAATAATAATCGTAAGCGCTTAAAGATAATAAAGACAAACAGAGGCCTCTCGTGTTTTGGGCGTCGGACAATTGTGCTGCGACAGTTCCTTGCTGCGTCAATCTGGCCCGACCCCACGAGACCTCACGGGCGGAATCTTGGCGACGCAAGGCTGCCTCTTCTGGGTCTGTTTGGAGCCAAGCCGCCGCTGGAACACCTATTCATCAACCTCGGAGCGCCTGGTCGACCTTTGATGCCTTCGACCGAAGACGTCATATCCACAAAGAAATCACGACAAAGTATCATTGTCGGAGCAAGTACCGTCCAAGAAAGCGCGGCCTGAGGAGCATCACCACGATCACACCTTCCGGCGTCATCGACACACCACCTTTCCCGCCTTTATATCGCTCCAACGTCGAAAATGAACCTCTCCACAAGTCTTGAGCCCGATGAGGCTTTGAATCCGTACCAAACCCCAAGTAACCTCTCGCAACAACCAACGGAACAACGAAAGGAACAAACACCAAACAACCACGTCATCATGTTTAACGAGCGTCTAGTCTTTGGATTCAGACAGATTGGTGGCCCCCACATCATGAACGGTCTGTGGGAGCCAACCACGGCGTCGCAGAAGGATGTGCAACCAGTGATCGACAAGGTCAAGAAGCAGCTCGCAAGGCCGGGCGCCCGCCTGAGCCGGCCCGAGGAGGTGCAGACGCTCGGGATCGATGGCTGGGTGATGATGGGCTCCCAGATGGGGCTCGTCTACACCTTCAGCGACCAGTACGAGCCCGTGTCGCTCGCCCACGAGATGGCGACGACGCCGCGGCCCTCGCGCAAGGACAGGGTCGACCTCGCGGGCAGGATCGCAAACACGGCCCGCTCGTTACACGTACACCATCAGATAAACCACCCGGCCCTGCGCTGCGGGAGCTTTGTGTACCTGCGGCACAAGGCCACGGGCAAGTACAACGGCCCATACCTCTTGGACTGGTCGCAGCGCCCGGCCGGCCCGAGCCTGTACCAGCACCCCGGATATGACGACGGCAGCGGGGGGACGAAGCCGGCGGCGCTCTGGGTCGACCAGGCCTACGCGCTCATCATGGTGCTGAGTGAGATCGTCGCGTGGCGGCCTATGAACGAGCCGCCGCCGGGCATCGGCGGGAAGGCGCTGCGCGATGCGAGGGCGCAGCGAGAGACGGAGCTCAAGAAGGGGAACTGGAGCGCGTTCCCGTGGGCCCTCGAGCGGCTCGTTGGCAGGTCTAGCGAGTACCACGAGAAGGCCTCGCACGCAAACGTCAAGTGGTTCTACGACAAGCTCTGCGACGCGATTTCTTCGCAGCCGCTGGAGGAGGGCATGGCCTGATTACTCGTCGTGGAATTAGCCGAACCTGTAAACCATACCATAGCGAAGGCTGGCCGAGCACCAACGGGCAAAGGGCCGCAACCAGACGCTTACTACCGACGAGGCGAGAAAAGCGGGAAGCGTGGAAGCCAAGTTTGCATCGCCACGCCCGGAACCAAGCTCCTGCCGATCCGCCCCACTCTCGAAGCGCCGGGGTGCCCCCTTTTCCCCCTCGGCCCCTTGCATTCTGCATGACAGCCGGGACGCCAACTGGATCTGGCGTTGGGAACAGGGTCCTGACTGGACGTGAGTGGTTGGGGTTGCTGGGGCGCCACCACTTTGACCGAAAGAAAACATTCAAAAAAGCAAAATGGCCAAACAGAGGGATGCCAAACTTGATGAAGTGAAGGGGATGTGGCTGTACGAGCAAATGATAACAGACTCAACGATTCAAAAGGGAAACAAAAAGAGTGAAAAATAAATAAATGAATAAACAATATCTGAAATGCCTGAATTCTCTCGTGTCCTCGTAGCTAGAACCACACCGAAGCAGAAGCCCGTGCAGGGAAATGGCTGGCTTGCGCTTGCCTGTTTGGCAACCAGGAATGCAGGATGCGCCTCCCAGTCCCGCTGTTTTGCTCTTTTCATCTCGTTCAGCCCCTGAATACGAAGTCCAACTTACGTCAAATCACCCCTTTGGGGCTCCACCATTCACGTGACTGGGCGCTGTCAGCTTCGCCCAGCCAGCTTCTAAATATGGTCCTCGCGACGTTCCATTCCAGCCGCTGGGCCTCTTAACCTCGCCTCATCCTTCCTTTGTCCTATTTTCTTGGAATCGGAACAGCCACTCCTTTGTGCTCTTTCTGTAGAGTATCTTGCCGCTCTTTTGGTTGCTCTCGCACCAGACGCTCTCTAGCCCATTTTAGCTTTCCGTTTCTTATAATCGACCTTTTCCCTGCCGAGCTTCCTCTTCGTCTCCGCCACCGCCATCCACATCACACATCCCTCACAATGCGTATCGCACCGTCCGCCGCTTTCGCCGCCCTCGTGGCCCTGGCATCCGCTGAGAACTACCTCGGCTTCAACTCCGGCTCGACCAAGACCGACCGCTCGGCCAAGTTCAAGTCAGACTTCGTCGCCGAGTTCACCACCGCCCAGAACCTCGACAAGTCTCCCGGCAAGTTCAACGCCGTCCGTCTCTACACCAACATCCAGGCCTACTCCCAGGATGATCCGATCGAGGCCTTCGAGGCTGCCATCGACACCAAGACTAAGATTCTGCTCGGTGTCTGGGCCTCTGGCACCGATAACATCGACAAGGAGCTGAGCGCTCTTAAGAAGGCCGTGACCAAGTATGGCACCAAGTTTACCGACCTCGTCATCGGCATCTCTATCGGCAGCGAGGACCTGTACCGCAACTCGGTCACCGGTGTCACCAACAAGGCCGGCGTCGGTGCCCAGCCCGACACTCTCGTTGGCTTCATCAATGATTTCAAGAAGACCTTCAAGGACGGCCCTCTGGGTAAGACCCCCGTCGGCCACGTCGACACCTGGGACGTCTGGCCCAACGCGACCAACAAGGCAGTCCTCGACGCCCTTGACTGGGTTGGTGTCGACGAGTACCCCTACTACGAGAACGGCAAGGGCAACGGCATCAAGAACTCTGGCCAGCTCTTCGACCGTGCCTTTGATGCCACTGTCGCCGCCGCTGGTGGCAAGCCTGTCTGGGTCACCGAGACCGGTTGGCCCGCCTCGGGTCCCGACTGGGACCTGGCCGTCCCCAGCGTTCAGAACGCCAAGTACTACTGGAACGAGGTTGGATGCCGTAAGCTCTTCGGCAAGGTCCCCACCTTCTGGTACAATCTGCGCGACTCCAACCCGGACAACAAGCAGAGCTTCGCCATCACTAAGGATCTGAGCACCAAGCCACTCTTTGACCTGTCGTGCCCTACCACCTTCGAGACCCCTGCTCAGTCCTCGTCCGGCAATGGCACCACCACTACTGGTGGCTCTGGCTCTGGTAACGGCACTGCCACCACCACTGGCTCGGTCAAGCCTACTGGCTCAGGCACCTCCGGCTCCGGTTCCGGTTCCAGCTCGGGCAGCGGTTCTGGCTCGGGCAGCGGTTCTGGCTCGGGCTCTGGCTCTGGCTCTGGCAGCGGCTCGGGCTCCAGTGCTTCGGGCACCCCCCGCCCCGGCTCCCCCGCATCGGGTGCCTCGTCCGTCCAGGGTCTGACCGCCGCCGTCTACGGCGGCCTCGCTCTTGTTGGCGGCGCCTTTGCCCTGCTGTAAATAATCATTTGTCAAGTATGTCTAGATGTTTGGAGGAATGGTAATAGCTCTGCAGCAATGCTTGTATCGCGTTTTAGATCTGATTTGGACTCCTTGTTTTGTGTATCGTCTCGCAGTGTCTGTCTAGGTGTAGCCAACTAGCTGCTGAGTCCAGGCCGTGGAGCTTGAATGTCTTCGGTGGACGGTGCTAGAGTGAACCTAGTAAGATTTTTTGACTTTGAATCATAACGTAAAGATGAATGGGTATTGATGCAGGATAGACTCGGGGTGGCTCTCAGTGCCACTTTTAATTGAAGTGGCGATTTTGGTCGTCCATCCTTCTCACCTTTACTCCTTTTATGCGGACCATGCTGAATGAACAATCCCAAGACTTGATGCTGATAACGAGGCTTCAATTACAGCTTCAATAAAATCCGTATTGCAAACCCTACTAGTTTTCCTCTCCCAGTAGCTCACTCACGCCCCAACCGCCAACTCCGATCGAGACGCAAATGACAAAGCCCGCCCTCGATGAACAAAGAAACATGCCCACATATATACAAGTAAAGAGATACGTACGCATCACCGCCCCCTCTTCAATCCTCAAAGAACCTCACAATCTCCCTGAGCTCGCCGACGCCTAGCCCGTGCTTGGGGTAGCAGATGTAGGCCTCCTCGCCGACGACGCCAAACTTCTCCCTGAACTCGGCCTTCTTGCCGAGCCCGAGGCCGTGGGCAAAGGCCTCGTACGCCTTGGCCAGGACGCGGGCGCGCCCGCTGCCGATATGGGCGACGGGCGTCAGCGTCTTGGACACGCCCGTGCCGAAGGTGACGGGGCTCCCGGGCACGGCGCCCAGGGCTCGGTCGACGAGGGCCTCGATGGTGCCGCCGGGACTGCCGGGCATGTCGAGGGCCCACTTGACCTGCCAGCCGCGCCGGGGCGCCAGCCGCGCCAGCACCACGAGCCCCAGCACGGCGCCGTCGCGCTCGGCCGCGAAGTAGCGCCGGTGGTCCATGTCGACCCACGGCCGCACCTCTGTGATGTGTATCTGCTTGGTCGTCCGCGCCGCCCGCCACTGCTCGATGGCCCGGTCCGTCCTCTCGCGGAATGACGACGACGGCGATGTCGGGCTGCCGCCGCCGCCGCCTCCGCAACCGTCCTTTTCGGGCCGCACCTCGTGGATGCGGATGCCCTCGCGCTGCACCCGGCGCGCGTTCCGCTCCGCCCCCGGCCGCGCGTAGCCGTGGTTCCCGTGCCCCTCGGCGCCGATGCGCTGCTCCTCGATGCACGTGAGCGTGCGCCAGTTGTGCTCGTCCGCCAGGATGCGCTGCACCTCGTCCGACACGATCAGCCAGACGGGCCGGCGCTTCAGGTCGCCCTCGACGAAGCGCAGGAAGCCGCAGACCACCTCCCTCAGCTGCGAGGGGTCGCACAGCGGGTCGCCCGCCATGATGACCAGCTTCCCGTCCTTTTGGGGCACGTACCCCACGGCCGCCCCCGTCGGCGCGTGGCGCCAGAGCTGGAAACGCTCGTCGAGCCAGGACGTGTTCGCGGCGTCGCCGTAGTTGGCTATCAGCTTCTCCAGCGGCGGGTAGTCTGGGTACCCACCCAGGCCGCTGGACGTCGTCGGCGAGGCCATGGAAGAGCTGTTGGCGGTGGCCGTCGAGGAGGAGGACAAGGATGATCCGCTCGATAGCCCTCGCTTGGTTGCAGCGAGTGATGGTGGGGATTGTGCTACTGATTTGCGCCGCTTGGTGCTCGCCTCGGGGTGTGGCAGGCCCGGCGGCCGGCGTGGCAGTGACTTTGTGTCTCTGTGGAAGGGTGATGCGATGCGGACATCGCCTAGCTCCAGCATAAAAGTTATGATACGCTCGAGCCCGAGGCCCGCGCCGCCGTGCGGTGGCGCGCCGGCTTCGAAAGCGGCGAGGTATTCCTGCAGCCCGTCCTCGGTGATTCCTGCGTCCGCCATGCTCTGACGGAGGACCTCCACGTCGTGGATCCGCTGGCCGCCCGTTCCAATCTCCTGGCCGCGTATAAAGACGTCGAACGAGTTGGTCCATTTGGGATCTTCGGGATCCTTGTGGGTGTAAAAGGGGCGCGCAACGGTGGGGAACTTGTCGAGGATAAAGTAATCCGTCCCGTAACGCTTCTTCACTAGTTGCCCCAGCTGTATCTCGTCCCGCGTTGAAAGGTCGTCCTCCTCGATATCCACATTTCCGTCCTCCCGCAGCATCCTCAAGGCTTCCGGGAACGAGATGATGGGCGTTTCGTCAAGCCAGATAAGATTGCTGCTCGGCCAGCGTTCCCGAATGACCTTGAGCTCGTCCATCTCCGTGACGGCGGTGAAGATGGACTTTAGTGTGCGATCTACCATAGCTATGACTTCGTAGTATGACTTTTCTATGCTCATCTCGATATCCAGGCCCGTGTACTCTGTGAGATGGCGATGCGTGTTGGAATTCTCGGCGCGGAAAACTGGACCGATCTGTGCGGATGCTTTCTGTTAGCAAACGCCCTGGCTGTGGCTTTCATGAGATGGGCCCCCGCCGCAATCCCCTAGGCTTGGCATGAATATATGCGACGCACCTCATACACCCTCTTGAAATCGGCAGATATGGCCATCTGCTTAGAGAGCTGCGGGCTTTGGGCGAGGAAGGCATTGCGACCAAAATAGTTGACCTTGAAGACCTCGGCGCCACTCTCGGTGGCGCTGGGCTGCAGCTTGGGCGTCTGAATCTCGACAAAAGCCTCACCGTCGAGCGTCTCGCGGAACTTGCGGGTGATGGCGGCACGCACACGGAAAAGGGCCTGGTTTGCGGCGTGGCGCAGGTCGACGACGCGGTTGGAGAGGCGCGGGTTCATGGCTTCTGGCGGGCTGTAGTTGGTGATGGGGATGCTCTTCGCCCTCGAGACGACATGAATCGTGCTGATCTGGACTTCAAAGTCGGGATGGCTCGCGGACCGGACGGGCTCGACGGGGTTCTGCAGGCGGCCGGTGACCTGGACGATGCTCTCAGGCTGCAGACGCTGGGCCCATTTGACCATCTCAGGGGCGCCGGCCAGGACGCCCTGGATGGAGTCCGTTTGATCCCTCAGCAGTAGGAAGTCGAGGGACCGGGAGACATCGCGCTTGTGGTGTATGCGGGCGCGGAAGGTGACCTCGGAACCGACGGGCATCTTTACCATCTCGGCGATGGAGCTGAGCTCGCGGAGGACGACATCGTCGCCATAACGTGCCTTGGTCTCGTCGTCGACACGCTCGCGCGCCTTCATGTCTTCGCTGCGGCGCCATTCTTCAACCAGGGCCTGCTCCTGTGCGCGACGCTCCTTCTTCTCGGCGTTCTTTTGCGCCTTTTTCTCTTGGCTTGAGCGTGGTGACTCGTCTAGGGCCTTGAGGGCCGCTCCATCAGCCCCGTTTCGGAACTCTCCCGATTTTGATCGCGAGGTGGAGCGGGGCTCCCCATCCCCCCTAGGAATAGGGCGGGACTTGGATCGCAAAGGCCCGGTGATAGACTGGGCGAGGCTGGAGAGGCTTCGGGCTGCCATGCTGGCGAGCCGGGCGGTTTGATGGATGTTGTGTGATTATAGAGTGTTGGACTGAAGATGGCAAGGCAACTAGGCAGAAGAGTCTGTGTGGCAAAAATGCTTTCTTCGTCGTCTTCTTTCCCTGCTTTCCTTTGCTCTCGAGGGTTCACGTGTCCGGCTGACGGGATTCGGTGCCAGTAGATCAGGGCTTGGTGCTACAGACACCAAGGGCCTGGCCGCCGCACATGTGGTGTACGAAGAGCTGCAGAATAATTAGTGGATATTTCCAAAGCTTGTGGGAAAGGAGAAGAAGACTGACGTAGGTCGTCAAGCGGGCGGGTAGGTTAGAAATAGGTATTGTTCAAGCTGTCAGGTCCCGGATCTGCAGGCCCGGGCCTAGGTAGGTGTAGGTAGGTGTATGTGTAGGAAGGGGAAGGGGCCAGGACAACGCGGCCTGCCAGGTCGTGGGATATCCTGTCCTGTTGGCTGCCACTGCAACAAACGGGTTTGGGCCACAACACCCAACGCCCAGAGCAACGCCTGGGACTATAATTGGCCATCTCCGTTGCTCCTGACTGTGTGCGTGCCTTCAGCTATGACGCAATCGTGCCATGGTGCTGTGGGACTCGACAAGATCCCAAGACCTCCATCTTGCCTCTCCTTTTTTTTCCATCTGGTCTGGGGGGCCGAGAACAATGGGCAGGAGACGTGCAACTTCCGGAGCGAAAGGTCCTATGCGCCTGCGCCACCCGATTGATTCTGCCTGGGCCTAACATATGTGACAGCAAGGTACCGGCAGCTACAACCCACCTCGTGCTCCCCGCCGATCGCCCGGGCGGGGCTAGCACTCCGCGCATGTCAAAAGACAGATACATCATCCCGCGACTGGACCGAACCACCGGCTCCACCTGCCTGATCTGGCGATATGCGCCCGACTTACACGTCACCATGAGCAAAAAGCAACAGTGGCAATTCATATAGGGCCTCAAGTAAGATGGAATAGCGTAGACATGGCGGAGCGCCGAGTTTCAGGCAAACCCATACATTTCTTTCTGCATTGGTGGCTGGATTCGTGACACACCTCCAACTACCTGCCGTGCAGTACGGTCTGCTGTGAGTGGTCGAGGTGAAGCCCCACTTACCCCCCAAGCCTGCGCTGCGATTCGCCCTCGACAGCCCGTCCCAAGACTTTGTTCGCCAGAAAGCTTGGTCTGAATGACGTCGACCACGTCCCAGCCCTCTCCTGGCCTCGTCTTGCGTGTGCCAACGCGAGCGAACACGGGGGCTAGCCAAAGTTGAGCAAGCGCACACCTGTCGAGGGCTGGACTGTAAAACGGTTGGCAGACCTCGTTGCCGCACTTCCGATCGCCTTGGCTGGCCCAGGTACAACGACGAGGTGTGCCACGGTTCAGAAAAGAAAGAGCGCATGTTATTTTGCTCCTTTGGGTGTTAAGCTCTGCCCTGCCCTACCTGCATGCTGCATGCCCACGTACGCGTACGAGGTGCGCCGTAATTACACCGCAGGAATACCTAGCCGCCGCTCTAGCCACTGCCCTAGCCACTCTTGGAGCATCTCACCCCCTGGAGCCACCGCATCTCACCAACTCATTGCAGTCTCCCGAGCTCGCGGACAACCGAAACACAAGGCCTCTTCACCGCTCCTCAGCCGCGGCCGAAGATAGATGGCTGCGGAACCAACCGACCGGAAGGATGAATTGGCTTCTGAATACATAAACCCCCTCGAGCAGAGCCCCAGATGGATGCTCGCCGCCCAGGCTCTTGCCATACGCTCTGGAGCGAGCATTGCGTTTGGCATGTCCAGTCTATACGACCCTGCTGGCACTGCTCCATCCGGCGTGCTCTGGCTCGATGCCACGCTGGGCAGCTGGAAGGCTAAGGAGGCCATCCGGGTCGATGTCTGGGAGCCCCCACGACCGCCATCGAGGGCCTCCTCTCGCATGTCGTCGAGAGTATCATCACGGGTATCCTCGCGAGTCTCCTCGCGGGTCTCCTCGCGGGTCTCCACCCCGGCTGCCGCCGCAAGTGCTGCTCCCGACTACTTGACAGCCGGCCAAGGCGGCGCCGACGGTGACAGCCGGCCGGCCATCATCAACTTCCACGGGGGTGGCTTCGTCCTCGGACAGGGCACCGACGACGCGCGCTGGGCCGCCGCTGCCGCCTCGGCGCTGGGCGCCGTCGTCTTCTCGGTCAACTACCGCCTGGCCCCTGGCTATCCGTTCCCCACCCCGGTCGAAGACTGTACGGCCGCCATCGCCCAGATCTGCTCCGACGACGGGCCCGCGGTCAAGAGGTATCGAGTCGACCGCGCCCGTGTGATTCTGTCGGGGTTCTCGGCCGGCGGTACCCTCGCCCTCGCCAGCTGGGTCGTGCTGCAGGACCCGGCGCGGTGGGGTTACGGGGACGTGCTGCCGCCATCCCTGCCGGCTGTCGCCGGCCTCGCGCTCTACTACCCGCTGCTAGACTACACCGTCGCCAGGCCGCGCAAGCGGGAGGCGTGCCCCCGGCCGGACCTGGCGCTGCCCAAGTCCCTGACGGACCTGTTCGACGCCTCGTACCTGTACCCGCCGCGCCCGCCGGGTGACCGCGGGGACCTCAGGATATCGCCGGGCCTCATGCCCGACGACATGCTCGCCCGGCTGCCGCCGCTGCACCTGTGCCTCTGCGAGCACGACATGCTCCTGGCGGAGGGCCTCGCCTTCGCCGACAGGGTGCGCGGGCGGGCCGACGACGGCGGCGGCGCCGGGCGCGTCGAGGTCCGCGTCGTCGGCGGGGAGAAGCACGGGTGGGACAAGCCGCCGCCCTTTGCGCAAAAGGAGAGCGCCGGCGAGGAGTACGAGGCGGCCATCGGCTCGATCAAGACGTGGATCGGTTTTGACGCCGAAATCAAGTTGCATGGACAGCGTGAGTGGTTCTTGACATTGCTAAGCTGACTGCCCAGGGTTTGTTCGTTACTGACATGATGAATGTACAATAGCTGATTTGGCGGCCCTACTAATACCTCCAAGTGCCATTGTATGAATAGTGTGAGAGAGGTATGTACGCGTAGATACTTATATGGCGAAATAGAGATTTGTATCTTGACAGCACGACGGCGGATATTACATGCTTCTCCGCTCTCCAGTAGCAGCGGCCCTATGAGTGAGCGAGCAGCGTGATTGGCCATATTCTCCTCGGAATTCATACTGGCCTGCTCACTGGCCCTGCTTAGATTCAGGAGCTGGAAAAAGGAGAGGGGTTCGTGATATATGTCTCGTTATAAATCGAAAGAGACGTAGAAAAACGCCTGAGCGAATCAGCCATGCCAGTCTACCTGTCCTGAGAAAACTCCAACCCTGTAAACGCCATACGAAAACGCTCCCCAAAAAGACAAACACGCTCAACTAAACATCAGAGCCGGCAATATCCGGGACGATGACTGCAACGTCGGGCGCGCCCTCATCCCTGGTCGCCACGCGGCGCTCGTGGAGGCCCCGGCGGGACCGCCTGCTCACCGCGGGCGCGTCGGGGAACACGGGGTGGCCGTTGCCGGCCCTGTTCACCTCGCTCATCAGCCGGGCGACGTCTCTGCCGAAGCCGTAGTTGTTCTTGACCGTCGGGGACCGGGCCCGGACGTCCCGCGCCCCCGCGCCGTCACCGTCTCTTGTATGGAGGGGGACCCGGTGAGGGTTGGCCCGGATCCGTGCAAAGTCGCTGAAGGGGTTGCCTCCCAGTCCAACGGCGGAGGTCCCCGTGGCGAGGGTCGCAACGCCGAGGGCGAAGATGGAGAGCTGGTCGGGGTGCGCTCTTTGTTAGCTTGGGGCGGACAATGGCTGTGAGCGGGGGAGTGATTGGTACTGACCTTCATTTTGGAGTCTATGTGGATTCACGAACAGTAGCTCAAACGCGAAGTCGTGTATGTATTGCCTTTCATAGAAGTGATGCGTGCGATGGTCGTGATGGTCAAGATCAAGCGCAGTGCCAGGGGCCAGCTCCGAGATTCTTAAAGCAAATCCTTCATCAGGAGCAGGAGCAAGGCAGAGTAGGTTTTTCGAAGGCAGACCCCGAAGCAAAGAAATGTTTGTTGGTTGAGAGCCCCTCGACAACTTTACTGTATTCTGCTGAACGTAGCGGCATCCTACCTGGTAAGCGGTTGGGAGGCGACGTGCCGGGTCCTGCTTACGGTCGAGCCAAGGAGATGGGAGCATCCCACATGCAAGTGATCAAGATGCTTGCTGTCATGAATAAATAAAGGAAAGAACAATGGACGCAAAGGGAAGAATGCCAGCATGGCCAGGTTCCTGTCCCTGCTCTTGGCGCGAGGCGGCGCATGCTCAGCCACGACCAGGGCGACAGGGCTTACTGTATCGGGAAATCCGTTGGTGTTGGTTCAAGGCCTGAATGCCCTCACACGGAACAAGAGCGACGCAGCCGACACGAGGGAAACTGACTGGCGCATACTTGCGCTTGTCGCTTATGAATTTGGGAGACTGTGTCTTTTTTCCCTAAAGGGCATCTAACAAGTTTGCCGGATTGATTTACCCGGCCAACTCCGAGTAACTTTCAGTGCTTCATCAAACGCGGACCTCCAATCTCGGGGGATCTTACCCCACTGCCTCTGCGAATAGCATAAATGATGGAATTTGGGGCTTGTCGAGCCAGCCTAGCCATTTGCAGCCATTCTCCCATCGATCCCCTAAAACATAGATAGAACCCGGCTGACAAGAGGCTCAGATGACCTCGTGATCTCGCAAACAAGCAACCTCCAGCGCTTGGGCGAGAGTCAACATGGCACCGTCTCCAGCGAACCAGCCGGGCCTGCTATGGCGGCAACTGCCCAAGCTGCTCCGCGCGAGGAGGCTGGTCCTGCTCGCCTTCGCCGTCTTCGCCTACCTCGTCTTGTCGCAGCGGCCCCGGGCGCAATGGAGGCCGCCGAGTTCCGGAGCCGCCGCGACGAGGTCTGGCGACCTGGCCGCCGTCGCGAACGACACGCTTGGGGTATGTAATGAACGGCCCGCTTGTCGCGAAACTGGTCAGATATATATATTTTTCATCCCTGCCTGCAATGTTAACTGTCTATCGATGGTGGCTCCGTCGCCCCGCCGACGCCGTGCATGCCAGTTTGACAAAGTTTTCGCCATCAACCGGCCGTCCAGGTCCGACCGGCGCGACTCGCTGTCCCTGGCCGCGGCGCTGACGGGCGTCCGGCTCAGCTACAGCGACGGCATCGACGGCTCCGAGGTCGAGGAGCGCGTGTTGCCTGCGGACAGCGAGGGCAAGCGCATCCGCAAGGGGAACGTAGGCTCTTGGAGGGCACATATGAACGTGCTTCGGACGTAGGTTCTTATTTTCTTCTTTTTTTCAACCCGAAAATTGTTCGCCCCTTTTTTTCTTCTTGACTTTCTTGCAGAAATACGAACCCCGGCGCAGCAAGAGCTGATCCGCCCGCGTTCTTGTAGCATAGTCGAGGAGGGCCTCGAGACGGCCCTCATTCTCGAAGACGACATCGACTGGGACGTGCGGCTCAAATCGCAGCTGCAAACCTTCTCGCTCGCGTCCCAAGCCTTCCTCCAGCCCCTTGACGGACACTCACACGGACGCTCGTTGTCCGCTCTCCTCCGCGATGAAGGCGACGCCACTACCACACTGCCACGGATCCCCCAGCTACCGCACCAGCCCCAGGGGAGCCCGTACGGCACCGGCTGGGACGTGCTGTGGCTGGGACACTGCGGCACCGAGCTCCCTATCCACGAAGGGGAGGAAGACGCAAAGAACCCGCACCGAGACGCAGACGCAGACGCGCCGCCGCCGCCGCCACCCGCACAGAAGAAACCACTCGGCGGCGTCGTCGTCACGATCCGGGACGACGAGACGGTGCCAGCGCCGCGGCACCTCCGGCCGCACCCGTTCGCGGACCGGCCGGACCGGCTCGCGACGGCGCACCCGCCGCGGACGCGGGCCGTGCACGCGTCGCGGGCCACGACGTGCTCGCTCGGCTACGCCGTGTCGCGCGCGGGCGCCCGGAGGCTGCTCTGGCGGCTCGGCGTCGACACCTTGACGGCGGGCTTCGACCTGATGCTGCGTGACCTGTGCGACGGCCGCTACCACGGGGACGGGGAAGGCGGGGTGGAGGGCGGCGGGCGCGAGGCGGGGCAGTGGCGTGGGCGCGGTCGGCCGGTCTGCGTGACGGTGCAGCCGCCGCTCTTTAGCCACTTCTCCTCGGGAAGGGGGGACGCGGGGTCGGATATCCAGGGGGTTGGCGGCGGTTACATGCAACGCTCTGGCTCGCAGTACATCCGCCTCAGCGTGAAGCAGAATCTCGGGCGGCTTGTGGAAGGCGCCTCGGTCGAGGAGCTGGTGGACCAGTGGCCTGACGATAGGCTCTAAGCCTGTGGTGGACACGACAGTACGGGTAGCACAGAATGGCCGCTCGCTTATTTCCTGCTACACACAGGCTCTTTGGTGTGTACGTTGAGTTGGTGGGTATCCAGATCATATAACTATACAAAGGGAAATCCTGTCGCGAATCTCCTTTTTTTCTTCTTTTTTTCTTTTTTACTTCTCCAGGAATTTCTGGAACGAAGACTGCTCAATGGTCACATTGCCGATGGCACGCAGCTTTTTGCGGCCAGTCTTCTGCTTCTCTAGCAGCTTACGTCTCCGCGAAGGGTCCGCGGCGTGGAGCTTGGCCAACACGTCTTTGCGGAACGGCTTGATGGTCTCGCGAGCCACGATGCGCTTTCCGACTGCGGCCTGGATGACGACCTCTGAAGAGCGGGAGAGGGCGCGGTCAGTGGTTGGAGTGCATACAGAACTAGCTATCTACTGCTGGGGCACGGAAAACTTACCAAACATCTGGCGGTCAACATGCTCCTTGAGCTTGGTGACCCATTTCCTCCCCAGTCGGTCCACCTGCGAGCTGTGCACTATCCTGCAGATGGCGTCAACAGGCACCTTGTTGACCAGGAGGGACAGCTTCACAACATCGCTCCTCCGCCATCCCCCGTCTTCGTAGTCGAGCGTGGCGTATCCCTTTCTACAACAAGCGCCCGAAACTATTTAGCCTCTCTGTTTGAAATTCGTGTGTGTGTGTGGCAAAGGGGAAGGAGGGTGGGTAGGGTATATCGATCACTCACGATGCGCCTTTGAGCTTGCCAAACAGGTCGTCCACCAGCGCCGACGCCGGCAACGCATATTTGAGGATGACCTGGGAGGCGCCAAAGAACTCGATGCTCTCCTGCTCGCCGCGGACGTTCTGGCACAGCTCGATGACGCGCCCGAGGTACTCCTCGGGCACCGCCAGGGTGGCCGAGACAAAGGGCTCGTAGAGGCCCTCGACCTTGGAGTGGGTCATCTCGTGGTCCGGGAACTGGGCCGGGTTCGTCACGATGGTCTCGGTGCCGTCGCGCCAGACCACCTTTGTGGGCACCGAGGGCTCCGTGATGATGACGTTGGCGCCGTGCTCCTGGCGCAGCCGGTCCTGGAAGACGGAGCAGTGCAGGCTGCCCAGGAAGCCGAGGCGCCAGCCGGCGCCCAGGGCCTCGGAGAAGTCCTTCTGCAGCGTCACGCTGCGGTCGTTGAGCGTCAGCTCGGCGATGCTGTCGGCCAGGCGCGTGTAGTCGCCCTGGTCTGTCGGGAAGGCGGCCACGAAGACCATGGGCTTGGGCTCCTCGAAGCCCGGGTACGGCTCGACCGCCTTCTCGCTGCCGACCGTGGTGAAGGTGTCGCCGATCTTCGCGTCCTGGATCCGCTTCATGCCCGGGTTGAAGAAGACGTAGCCGACCTGGCCGGGTCGCAGCGCCGTCTGCGGCACCTGGTTCGGGTGCTGGATGCCCACCTCGCCGACCGTGTAGCGGTTGCCCGTGGCGAGCGACACGACCTGGTCGCCCGGCCTCACGGTGCCGTCGAAGACGCGCACGAGCAGCACCACGCCGCGGAACGTGTCGTACCACGAGTCGACCAGCAGCAGGCGCAGCGGCTTGGACGCGTCGCCGACGGGCGCCGGAATCCCCTCGATGACGGCCGGGAGCACGCGCTCGACGTTGGTGCCGGCCTTTGCGCTGACGAGCACGGCGCCCCGGCCCGTCTCGTCCACGTCGAGCTCAAAGGTGTCGCGCAGCTGGCGCAGCGCGCGCTCCGGGTCGGCCGAGGGCAGGTCGATCTTGTTGACGACGGGCAGCAGCGTCAGGCCCTCGGCGAAGGCGAGGTAGAAGTTGGCCACCGTCTGGGCCTGCACGCCCTGCGAGGCGTCGACCAGCAGCAGGGCGCCGCCGCACGAGGCGTACGACCGCGTCACCTCGGCGCGGAAGTCGACGTGGCCGGGCGTGTCGACCAGGTGCAGCAGGTAGTCCTCGCCCCGGTACCGGTACAGCATGGTGCACGTCTGCGCCTTGACCGTGATGCCGCGCTCGCGCTCGACGTCGAGCTTGTCCAGGATCTGCTTGTTGGAGTCGCTTGCCGATATGGTGCCCGTGAGCTCCAGCAGCCGGTCGCTGAGCGTGCTTTTGCCATGGTCTATGTGCGCTATGACGCAGAAGTTGCGGTACCTCTCGATGGGGATGGCCGCGATCCGCTTCTCGAGCGAGCTCGCGTTCGCCGGGGCGCTGTATGCCCGGAAGCTCTGGAGTCTGTACGAGGGGGCTCTTGCGCCCCTGTCCAGCGGTGCCGGGCTGACGGAGTGGCGTCTCGTGGTGGCCAAGCTGCTATAGAGACAGCGAGACCCGCGGTCGGGGGCAGCCCGCTGGGGGTAGGCCAGTCGCCGCAGGCATTGTTGCGTGAGCCCGCCCAAGCCCACACAGCCGCGCATCCGGTCGAGAGGTGCCGGAGCGCTTCCGTGTGAAACAATTACCTCAGGACCTCAGGATCTCGGAGCCAGTCGCTGAGGGGAAGCCAGCTGTCTCTTGGCGACGAATTGGGACCATGGCATGGTGCCCGCACCTCCTTTATTCCTCACAACTTTTTTCGAGGTCATATCTTATCAGTGGCCTGCATCCCAGTCAGAACCCTAACCCGCCACCCATGAACAGCGCCCATGTTTGGATAGCATTGAACCCCTGAGTTTCCCGTCATCTCCATACAGGTTCCTATTGACAACCAACAAGACCCCCTATTCAAGGCCAACTTCCTTATAGTCAAGTCATTCGGTAAGCCAACCTCCCTGAAGTTACATCGGTGCGATCTCGATCTCTACGAGGCCGCAACTCAAGAAGGAAGCAAGTTTAAATCAAGGCAGGACAAAGGGCGTAAAACCAAAGCCTCTTGCCACGATCTGCTCGCAAATTGAGGGATCTGGCTTGCCTGCCCTGCAGTGGCTGTCGTTGTCACCAGCCAGAGCAGGATTGCTTCAAGGGATTCTACACTCCACATCACCAAAATCTATTCAAGTCAAGTCACCTCCCCAGTCCTTGCCAGCACGGGTGCGTGTGGCCCTTTTGGATGAAATAACGAATGTGGTATCTTGAGGGGCCGAAAGCAGCAGAAGGAGAATAAGAAGAATAAAGTAGTAGATACAAGCGTGTAGTATTTGGGCGGGGAGAGTGACACGTGCACGTCGGCAAGATAGAACAAGAAAGGGAGGCTGGCAGGTGGGTTAGGAACCCAAGGGGTACATCGACAGTGAGTTGAACAGGCAGTGCGCTTCTCTTCATCATTGATCCTCGTTTAAAATCGTAAATTAGCCATCACACGAGCACCCACTCGCTCCCTCTCTTGACAAATTTGTCCAATAGGAGGGTAAGGTCCGTGAGGACGAATCTGCAAATGTAAAAGGCGAAAAATTCCGCGGCGTGGCGCGTGCAGAGTTCCAGGCCGACCTGGGTCTTGTCAGCGTGGCGGAGGCCGGGGTCTTCGACCTGGCGCGCGATCTGGTCTGTAGTCGGGGGTTGACCTGTGTTAGCAGCCTCGTGGAGTGACGGGTTCGAATTTCGCAGGCCCGGGGAGCTGGCTTACCTATCACTTGAGCTGCGTCGAACAGTTTGGCAAGTGAAGACATGTAGTTCGCGTTGGGCCCCGTGAACTGAAGACTGGTCACCTCCCTCTTGGGCGGCTTGCTGGTCGGGTGAGCAGTCATGGGAAGCGATGCCGACGCCGAGCTTATATCCCTGACCCCATCAAACAGGCCTGGAGACGCATCCTTCTTGCTGCCGCCGCCTGCGTAACTGTTGGCGAGGCCCGCGGACGAGTTCTTGGACCTGAGTCGCCGCCACGAAAAACTCGACTTGCCCGTGACGCTCGAGGACCGCGGCACCGCAGACCCAGGATCCCCGTCGGTGCCCCCTGTGGCATCCCTGAACAGTGCTCCCATCGACTGCACACCCACCTCGTTCCCGAGTCTTCGCGTGAGCGTGGCCTGCACCTGTTCGAAGATGCCCTCGAGGGACTGCATCTCCTCGAGCACCGCATCAGCGTCGATAGTGTCAACCATCGAAAGCTTCTGGAGCGCCGCCGTGAGGAAGTCGCAGTTGGAAACCTTGTCTTCCACGTTCTTCAGCTTGACTCCCTTGACCCTCCACACATCTCTTGGCACAAAGAGCTTGCTGCTGATGTAACCTCCGCGAGGGTGCGCTAGCGTCTGATAGAGGCACCTCATGAGCCAGAAAGGCCTCAGCAGAGTATCTGTCGGGCACGGCTCGAGGGGCACGGGAGCGTCGACGCGGATAGAGCGAAGCGAGCCGGGGCTTGTGGGGCCGTGGATGTCGGCATCGAACAAGAACATGCCAGTGGACCCTGGCGCAAGTCTGTCCTTGAACGCCGCCGCTACCGGCGTGGGCATGCTGGGCACCGCCGGCAGTCTCGTGCTCAGGGCTCCGAAGTGAGTGCTCATGGGTGTGCTGGGGGACATGTCGGACCCGTCGTCAAAGTTGGTGACCGACACGTTCCGGCCCTTCATACTCCTGAGACTGGAAGATGAAAAGTTTTTTCTCAAAGCAGGAGGTTTGGCCACTGAAGGCGAACCGGAGCGCGGCTCCGATTCGGAGGCAACGCCCTGTGGTATCGGTGGCGTTGGGGGCGGGAACTGCTCCATAGGGAGCAACGGCGAGGGTGCCTGTTTGAAAGGCATGGTTCGACCAGCACCAGTTGAGAGCGCCTGGCGCTGCTGGGCTATGAAGCCTGTCGCCTTGGGCAGCGGCGGCTGTGTTTGCTGCGACGGCAAGGGCGGCGTGTTCGCCAACTGGTTTCCCATCGTCACTGGCTGGATGGTTCCCGACGGCTGTTTCCCCAGCTGGGTCGTCTCAATCTTGAGCTGCTTCGGGTTCTGGCCCGATAGCCGTCGGCTCCGCACGCTCTGGTCTGTGGGCTTGTTCTCGTGGTTGCCGCCGGAACTCTGCACGCCTGATGATCCTGGGCGTTGGGGCGGCAGCTGCGGCAGTGCTTGGGTCGGAGGTGGTGCCAAAGGCGCGCTGACCTTGACCACACTCGGGAGCCCTCCGTTCTCGCTTACCGTCGTGAGGACTGTCGTTGCTGTGGGAGGGTTGGATCCGGTAGATGTGTGCCATGTGCGGGCCGTAAATTCGCTAGAGTCTGACGTGCGCGGCATGGCTGGTTTTTGGGGTTGCTGGACTCCAAACGAGAACTCTTCGATGGCGTATCCGCGTGTCATCTCCTCCAAAATACGCTCCTCTTCCTCCGAGTCGTTGTCATCCTCGAAAAAGTCCTCGGGATCCGCCTCGTCCTCTAACCTGAGCTGCTCGCGCAGCCTCTTTTCCCTGTCGTTGGCCAGTTCCAGCGCCTCACGTTCAGACTCTCGCACTCGCTCCTTTGCCAGCTCGACCTTCCTCATGGCTCTGGCGACCACGTCTTCACCATCGTCCGGATGCCTGCGCAGGCTCGCAACTTCGGCATCGTAGCCCTCATCGTACGCGGCCTCGATGGCGTCGTCCAGGGCAGCATCGAACTCGGCCTCGGTATCGCCGCTGGTGCTTCTGAAGTGTTTTCTTTGCACGCCCAAGGAAGAGGACCTGGACTGGACCGAGGAAGCATTGGAACCCCCAGACTCATCAATGGGGTCAAGCCACGAGATCGACTCGTGGCTGTTCCCTCTGCTGTGTCCCCTGGTAAAGGTGGGGTGTTCAGGGGCATTAAGTCGGCTCGTTGGCATCGAGAAGTCGCTCCTCCCCGGAAATCCCGGACTCGTTCCTCCGCTCTGCGGACCGGGCGGTAGCCTGCGAGGTGACAAGGGCGGTGGCATGTACTGGCTGTCCATAGGACGCATCGGGGTCACGTCAAGCGTGTTTGAGTCCTTCCTGAACGGCTGGGAGAAGGCCGATTGCAGTAATACAGGCTGGCCTCCCTGGGCCGAGAAGGACCCGAACCTGGAGTTGGTGGCGGAGGCATTGGACGCTGCGCCGCCGCTTGGCTGCCGTCGATGGCCCGAGGGTGGGGCATATCCAGGGGACGGATGCGAGTCCCGATCCCTGAAGCTGGAGCTTGAATGGGAAAATGTTGTTGTCCGCACCGGCGCCTCGTCGTCACTGTTGACCGCAGAATACAACGATAATTCCTCGCGCTGGCCATGCCCCGGTGGTCGACTGGGCAGTGCCTTACCCAGCTGTGTTTGGTCGGGAAGGATGTCGTCGAGTTCCTCTATTCGAGTGGTGTATGTTTTACTCTGTTGATGCGGAAAGTCAAATGTTAGAGCCACGAGACGCCGAAAAGGGTGATCGAATTACATATCCACGGAAGAACACGAGAGTACGGTTTCCACCCGGGCGGCTGATGAAGAAGGAGAATGTGACGCACTATAGCTTCGAGCTTTTTCTTATCGTCCTCGCCGTTTGTCCTCACGAGGACCTGGTGGAGGAGATCACAGGCTTCGGCATATGCCTGCCTGGCACCCTCAAAGTTCCTGGCATTGTCGAGCTGAACGGCAGTGTTTGCCTTCTCGAGGGCGCGTGACAGCATGGCCTTTTGGGACGGCTGTTTGCTCGATCGTTCCTTGCTTTTTGAGGAAGCGGTCGTGTCGGCGCTTCCCTTGTTGGCCTGCGACCGATTCCTCGAGTGGCCCCTCTCGTGGGCGCTGCCATTGCGGTCGTACATGGTCATGGTGGCGTCGCTAGAGTTCCTGGCATGTGAACGGTGGTATTGCCCGTCCCCGGGCCTCAGGGACTGATCACCGGAGTCGTGGGCGGGGTTTCCTAACAGTTGACTGTCACGCCGAGACCGGCGTGCGTCATCGAGGGCCGCCGGCGGTGGGTCTGAGGACGCAAGGGTTCCGGCCGAGACCTCCTGCTCGAGAGACGGGAGGGCGATAATGGGTGGGAGGCTCTCGAGGGGAGGAACCGGGGTCGGAGAGGGCGACAGACGACGGACGCGACTACCCGAGGCGGAGCCGTTGGATATGGACGGCCTTTGCTTCTGAAGCTTCCGGGGCGGGGAACCGTAGGCGCCAAGAGGCTGGAATTCTTGCTGGAATTGCGCCTGAGACAGCTGCGGGATCGGCGCCGGGTGCGTGTGGACTCCAAAGGAATCGATGCTGCTCTGGCGGCGGCCGGCAAAGTTAGCGGAGGCGCGGCTAGACGAGGTCGAGGCAGACCATCGGTTAAGGGCCCGGAAACCGTCACCCAGGCCGTTTGTGGAGCTGGAGCGCGAGTGGTTCGGCCTTGGCTGGGAGGGCGAACGCGACTGTTGCGGCAAAAGAAATAGCTCCTCCCTATCAGACCCACCGGGGGCGATGGGCTGGGCGTTGAATGGATTCTGAAAGAGGACCTGATGGAGCTGTTGGTGCTGCTGGTGCTGGTGCAGTTGCTGTTGCTGTTGCTGTCGATGTTGGTGCTGGTAGTTCTGATAGGACGATCTGGGTGGTAGCGTGCTGGCGGCGGTGGCGGCGGTGGTGGTGGTGGACGAGGTGCTCGAGGTGGTGTGGCGGTTGTTCTGGTCTGACGATACAAGGTTCGGAGGGGGCAACAGGGAAGAGGTCCTTGGGAGCTGAACGGCGTGGAAGTACGGCGGCTGAGAGTTTTGCTGCTGCAAACCGAGGTAGGGTTTGGCAGCAGCAGTGCGAAGGCTCGGGTTCGGGGCTGCTGGACCGGCACGAGTGGCAGGGGCAACGGCGTCGGGACTGGCACTGGCGCGGGCACTGGCGTTGGCACTGACCGCGGACTGTCGACTGCCGGCTGAGAGGGCGGTCTGAGGGCCACCAGTCGAGACGGCGGCGGAGACGCCAGAGGGTGGACTCGCGTACGAGAGTCTCGGGGAGCCGTCGTCGCGGTTGCTGGTGCGGCTGCTGGCGCGAGATCCGGGGGTCGAGGGCCGCCGAAGTGCTGCTGCTGCTCCTTGCGGTATGGGTATGGGCGGCGGTGGTGCGGACGGCGGCGGGCCTGAGGGGGGCAGGCCGACAAAGGGTGTTGAGGCAGAGACGAAGAGGGCTGGCGGTGGTGCTGTTGCTGCTCCTACTGGGTGGGCAAACACGGTGTGAGGTGAGGGCATCCCGTCTCGGACCGTCTCCCCCTCACAAGGGGACGGCGGTATTGGGGGGAGGGTCGAGTCGTGCGGTCGTCGCCAACCGTCAGGTCGAGTCTCGAAATCAACCGGACCGGGGGGACCCACGCGCGGGCGGGCGGTTCAATGGAGGCAATGGGCGTGCTGGTGGGAGGCTGCTAGGGCGTCGCGCCGCGGGCTTTGGGCGGTGATAGGCTGGCGGGCGGCGGCGTGCAAGATTACGGCAGGCTTGCGACGCATAACGGGCGGGTTTTTCGCGCCCTTAGAACCGCTATATCGAGTGGAGTGCCGTGGTGTTTTTGTTGCAGCGGTGCAAGGGTCGAATTGACGGCTGAGGCAGACGACCAAGGGCTGCTGCGACTTGGGAGTCTGGTCTGGTCCCATAAAGAGGCTGCCAAGGGTGTCCCAGGAACGGGCTAGGCAATCCACTCGCCGTCACAGAGGCAGGCATTTTGATGGAGCGAGGAGGGCGACGCGGCGCGCCCACCGCACGAGCTGGCTGCTGGCTGGGCTGTGGACACGGCCGACGCACCCTCGCTCCCCCAACGGCGGGTGGCGTAGGTACCCCCAATACCCCATAGGTACATGTCCACAGGGGCCGGGCATGCAGGGGCTCCAGCACCAGGCCAGACTGCGAACAGCACCCGGACATTGGATTGACGAGACAAGGCCTCGACAGGCAGCGCAGACCAGAGCAGAGCATCCATGGAGCGGGGACGAAACCGGACAGCAAGCGCAAGCGCAAGCACAAGCACAAGACCTGCAGCAACCCAACTTTCCACCTTTCCGCTTCCAACCGATGCAGTCGATCTGATCCGAATCCCTTCTTCTGGCCTGCTACCCCCCTTGGCACGGCCTCTTGTGGCCATGGCAAGATACAGCAGATCCACGGGCACACTCCCCCGCCATTTGATGTGACGCCAAAAAGCTCTCGAGAAGAAAAAAAACTCTCCTCAGAGACGGACCGGGAAAGCGGGTACCTACCCATATCCACATGCAACCGTGTTCCGAGCCATGTATCATGTATGCTGTACGTGCCGTGCGCGCCGTGCTGTGCCTCCGTACCTGTACCGACCTACACGGTGCCGCCCACCACTGAGGTGGCTGTCCCCTTTTTCCTTGGTTCTGTAGGTGGTGGTGTCGCAGCTCGCAATCTGTAGGAACCCAGCGCCATCAATTGGTCGGCTTCTCGCCCCATCGCACACCACCCACTCCATTCACGTCGCTCTACGTCGCCTATCGAAGTAAGACGAAGAGGAGTGCGAGTACCCTGTTGTACCTGTGTATAATCACGCCGTGCGCGTCTACCCGAGCAGCCACCCAAGACCTCGGACGGTCACTTTGATCGCCAGTGTTTGCGTCGTTGTGCTCAAGAGGGGGCGTGTCCCATTTTGCGACGTCGCAATGTATAGTACACAATTAACTGGCACTCTGATCCACGGGCGTTTCGAGTGACATAACAACCACAAGCACAAAAGTCGGGGCACATTTCTTTCAATGGCCCTATCCAGCCACGTTCTCATCAGCCGAGAAGGGCCTAACCCACCCTCCTGGGCCTCCCGCTGCCCTTTTCCTTTGCGGACCCTCGTTTGCTGACCTCTAACTGGGCGAATCACCCAGCGTGGCGTGGCGCCGCTGCGAGTGTTGAAATATCCACCCGCACCACCGGTTCCAAAAGAAAAAGGGGCAAGGGGTGGTTAGGTTAGTGACCCACCCACTCACATCCCAAAGGGGAAGGGCCCGCTTCTCCCATCCCCCTTTTGGAGGACTGGGAAGTGCGACCGCAAGAAAGAAAAAGACAAAAAAAAAAAAGGAATGGGACAGACAGGCCACATTTCTCACCGTGTCTAGTCGTGTCCAACCATGCACGCGTTCGTCGGAAGCTTGACACGGTTGCTGCTTGATTCCGACTCGAGTCCAGCACTTAAGCTACGACCACCGGCAGGGGCGGGAAACGGAAAGAGAAGGGAAATGATGATAAAAAAGCAACGCCAGGTTACAGCCGCAGCCCCCAACGCCCAAACTCCCGTGCAGAGCCGCACCCTGACGGGCAGATCGAGTTTTTGCAAGGGACCATGGGGGACGAGGGGACCATCCCGAGCCTCGCCTCCAGGCCGCCTCGGTCCATCTCGCCAGTGTGCCCCGTGCTTGACTCACGTCCGTCGTCCCGTCCAGCGCCCAGTCAGGGCCGCCTTTTTTTCTTTCTTTTTTCTTTCGCCAGCCTTGGCCTGCCAGGCCATCCATGCCCCCTCCCCACGAAACAACCGCGCTGCCCGTCTTGGCCGAGCACGGACTACCGAGACGCCGGAAAGGGGCGCGCCCAGAAACAGATTGCGACGAATCGCATCACGCCTGTGTTTTCCTCTCTTGCTCCCAGCGATGGACCAGTCGCGCCCGCAACGGTTCCGTCGGGGGGCCTCAACCGCGCATGGGGATGCAGCATATACGGGTAGATAAGGCACACAGGCCTACCATATTGCGCACAGCTTGTCTCCCCGTCGCCCCCGGAGTTGGCTTGGCTTTGGGGGGGAGTAATCGGATGGAATGTGGCGATGGGGGGACCGACGACAGTCATTCCCATGTCCCCAAGTACTGCCGACGTATGGTGCCTAAATTCTGCTGTTGACCGCAAAGTCCTGTTCGGCGCTCCCGGTGCATTTCCGCCACGGATCCCTCCCCTCCCACCACGCAGGCTCGCAACCTCCATGTTTCAGCAACATGTGCGATCGCTGGTGATCGCTAACCCTACATGCCTTGGCCGCCCTCCCTCTTTTTTTCTACCTTTTGTGCTCCCGTTCTCCCCTCCTGATCCATCTGACGCCATCCGTCCGACCTGGGGGTCTTGCTCGAGCCTTGTCTTTCCCAAGCCCAGAACAGCATGGCCAGAAGAGGCAGCCCAGAGAGCCCAGTCAGGCCGGTGGTGGGGCCAAGGTCCTCCCTCCCCTGTTGTCCTTGCCTCATGAGATGCCTCACGACAAGGCAGAATCGCAACACCACGGACAGAAACGCCGAGGAAAAGCGAAGAAACGAGGGCAAATTTAGGTTGGCGAGAAACGGCGCTCTAAATCAGAGCGTCGGCGACTCGACCATGTCCTTCATCCCAACTGATGTCCCGTCTTATATCATATCTCATGACACCGACTGTGAGACGGCGAGCAGACTGACTAGAACGAAAAAGATACGAGGCCAGAGGCTTGCGGAAATCGCGAAATCGCTGGGGCTTTTTTATTATTATTCTCTGTCGCCTCCGAGCTAGGCGGCAGGTGCATACAGATGGCTAAAAACATGACCGCATCGGATGAGCTCGTAATGGTATCAAATCCAAGCCTGAACGCCCCGCCCCCATCACCATCGCCTCCCGCGCTGTGATGAATCGGCAGGCAAATGGGAAATGTTTCAACGCGCTGCTCTCTCGAACTCTGAGAGGCCCATCGGATGTTTTCGCGGCACGGCTCTATCCCTTTTCCATCCACCCATCTTTTTTTGCTTTTTTTCTTCCTCTTCTTCCTTCTTTCTTTCCCCGCCTCTCACACTTGTAATCCTTATTCATTCGTTGCAACCGTGGGGACTTTCCTGGGGTGATTAGAACTGTTAGCGCGATAGGTGCCTCCGGGACCTGCAAGACTTCCATCTTTTTGTGGCTCATGGTCAATGTGCTGGCTGCATTAAAGCCTTGTCTGTCTTGTGGAGGCATTTGTTTCATGTTTGACGTAGCGCACGCGTCAGCTATTGTGCATACCAACTTACGTGGTGTGCCCCAGGGCTGGATGTGGGCAGGCAGGCAAGATTAGGGTGACGATCCCAGCCGGATGGCCTGCCGAGGGGAGCAGCTAAGGCCATGCGGCTATATAGAATGTAAGAGCTAGGCAGCTGGGTTGCGGTCTCTGCATGTGGACATGAGCATGGTACAGGAGTCACGTAGCTATTTGCGAAATATCAAGACGGGCATGAAGATTTCATCCCCTAATCTCGGGAATAGCGGCATCCACGGGCCGCTGCTCTCTTACCGGCACATGGATGAGTGGAACAAAAATAACGGGTTTGTCAACGGCTCCAACAGCCTAGTATCCATATTCCCAGCCTGAACTCCAGTTCGATCTAAAAGCACATGCCCCGGTTTTACCCCCAGCTTTATATGGCATGATGATGGGAGGGTCCAACCCTACGCCGTTTATGCCAACCTAGGTTGACTTGGCGCCGGAACCTAGTCGAGCTCCGTCCCGGGGGTGTGAGGAAGTCGTTCTGCAGCCAAGCCCGAGACCTGCCTCGCCCCGCCGCCCGTCCTTCCCAGTCCGGGCCTGGCATCGGCCGCCATCCTGTTCTCCACACCACTGCACATGGCGATGATGCCGGCCCGAAGTGGAGAAGGCAAATCCGCAGTATGAAAAACGAGAGCCGCCGCCTCCACATGCCCATCTCTCATGCCTTGATGTCCCAGGGTAGAGGGTATGTACCGACCCAGTCGGCTACCTCGCTCTTCAACTGCACGATCTCCGGATCCGTCTCGCCAGTGCCGAGATGTTCCAGGAACAGCTTGAGCTTGCCGGGGTTCTTCTCCTTTTTGGTCTCGGCAGCCTTGCGTGCCGCCTTGTCCACCCTCACCGCGATCGTCACGGCACGGTCCACAATGTCGGCCACGCGCTCAAAGTCGTCCGCTCCAAAGCCCCGTGTCGTCATCGCTGGCGTGCCCATGCGCAGGCCACCGGGCGTGAGCGCCGACTTGTCACCGGGCACCGTGTTCTTGTTGGCCGCGACCCCGACAAGCTCCAGCACTCGCTCCACACGCGCTCCATCTATGCCCTGGGGCTTGAGGTCTGCCAGAACAAGGTGGTTGTCCGTGCCGCCAGACACAATCTTGTAGCCCAGGCCACCGGAGTCCTTCTTCTCGCCCAGCCGGCGCGCAAAGGCCTTGGCGTTGACCAGAACCTGCTCCTGGTACGCCCGGAAGTCGGGCGCCTGGGCCTGCTTGAGCGCAACCGAGAGGGCTGCAATCGTGTGGTTATGCGGACCTCCCTGGTGGCCAGGGAACACTGACTGGTTGATAGGGTTCTCCAGGTCATACAGCACATCCTGCTTGGTCTTGGGATTTGTTGACCGGACGCCGCGGCGGAAGAATATCAGGGCTCCGCGAGGACCGCGGAGCGACTTGTGCGACGTCGTCGTGACAAGGTCTGCGTAGCCGAACGGACCCGGAAGGACCTTAGCAGCCACCATACCCGAGATGTGCGCCATGTCTGCCAGCAGATAGGCGTTGACCTTGTCGCAGATCTCCCTCATGCGTTTGTAGTCGATAAGGCGGCTGTAGGCGCTAGCCCCTGCAACAATGATCTTGGGCCTGTAGACAAGAGCGAGCTCTTCGAGCTTTTCGTAGTCTATATACCCAGTCTCCTCGTTTAGACGATATGGGACCGTCTCGAAGTATTTGGAGATGAAGGATATTTTTTTGGTGGGTATTTGGTAGCCGTGAGACAGATGCCCTCCATGGGGCAGATCGAGACCCATCAGCCGATCATGGGTGTTCATCAGGGCCGAGTAGACGTATAAGTTTGCCGGGGCACCCGAGAGCGCTGTTGCCAGGGGCACAGGTAAGCAACCTCTGATTCCGTGGTTGGCGCAATCTACACCCGGTTCTCAATCAAGCCGCATGCCAAGACAACCAACTCACCTTGAACATTGACTCCCCATTGCTTTTCATCCAGGCCAAAGGTCTCGAGGGCCCGCTGTTGGCAGAGGCGCTCGGATTGGTCGATGAACTCATTCCCGCCGTAGTACCTCGCTCCTGGGTAGCCCTCTGAATACTTGTCTAGACGAGCAAGACACGCTTAGCTCTCCAATTTTCAAAGACAGAATCACCATTGGGGCCTGTGGTTGCGCGCATACTCTGCATGGGGCTTCCAAGCGCATCCAGCACGGCCTGGGATGTGAAGTTCTCAGAAGGAATCAGGTTGATGTATTGCTTTTGCCTTTGTTTCTCCTACCGGTCGGATTTGTGTTAACAACATTCTGTCTGCCATAGCTGCTGGTATGGAAAACAACGCGATGTGACATACGTTCTCGACAATCTCGTACATGACTGGGTCGGCATCCTGGAGGTGCGAGGAAAGGAGCTATCGGCGGATGATATATCAGTATGGTCAGTTTATAGAGGTGACAGGTGGTCACCCGTACCCGCTGCTGGCTCTCCCGCACAGCCGACGAAACCGCCCTGATCTGGCTGCGGATCGCGTATCTCGGCAGAGGCCTGAAGGCCTTCGAGGCCGTGTGCCTCCACGCCGGCAGTGACATTTTGGGTAGTGCTGCAGATATTGCGGCAGCAGGTTAGCTCGGCGATTGGGAACCGGGAGCAGAGCAGTAGATATATATAGCAGCAACGTGCCTGGTGCCTTGCTTCAAGCGATATCGCCCACAATCGCAGTCCCGCGGCTCCGTCGGATTGAGAGGCGGTTGAGGTCGAGTTGCCCGTCGGCCGTGGTCAATGGGGTGATGATGCACACACAGCGCCCTGGTTCCCCGCGCCACCGACAAGCTAACGCCCCCTGACGCAAGCTCCATCTGCTGTGGGGCCTGTGCTTGTCGGGATCCACAGACTGAATCAATTCAGGTCAGCCACAGCCACTCAGCGCGGAGACTAGGAAAAAAGGAAGGGGTCCCGCACTGTGGCTTGTGTGCAGGCTCCATTGATAAAACCGAAATCTCTGCTGCGTTTTTTGTCTGTTTCTTTCTCCTTTTCTTTCCTCATCAACTAAATTGGGGGTGATGAGCCAGCTTGATATCGTAATGTTTCCACACTCCAGCAATGGATTGGGAGCTAGCCGACATGCCCCGGTCACCTCACCACATTGGAGGGGCAATTTGAAGCAGTCTGACCCAAGACCTTGGTTGATCCTTTGTTCTAGTGCCTCCGCAAGCTGGCCTGGGATGGAGTTTTTTTCTTCACCTTCCCGCCCCCCCC